GTCTCTGCTTTTCACGATGCTGTCCAGATTTGTCATCGCTTTCCTCCCAAGAAGAAGGCGTCTTTTAATTTCAGGGCTGCTGTCTCCATCTGCAGTGATCATGGAGCCCAGGAAGATAAAATTTGACACTGCCTCCATATCTTCCCCTTCTATTTCCCAGGAGGTGATGGGACCAGTGGCCATGATCTTAGTTTTTTTGATGTTGAGTTTCAGACCGTTTTTTGCACTCTCCTCTTTCACTCTCATTACAAGGTTCTTTAATTCCTCCTCACTTTCTGCCATCAGAGTGGTATCATCTGCATATCGGAGGTTGTTGATATTTCTTCCGGCAATCTTAATTCCGGCTTGGGTTTCTTCCAGTCCAGCCTTCCGCATGATGTATTCTGCATATAAGTTAAATAAGCTGGGGGACAATATACAGCCTTGCCGTACTCCTTTCCCAATTTTGAACCACTCAGTTGTTCCATGACCAGTTCTAACTGTTGCTTCCTGTCCCACATATAGGTTTCTCAGGAGATAGATAAGGTGGTGAGGCACTCCCATTTCTTTAAGGACTTGCCATAGTTTGTTGTGGTCCACACAGTCAAAGGCTTTTGCATAGTCAATGAAGCAGAAGTAGATATTTTTCTGGAACTCTCTGGCTTTCTCCATAATCCAGCGCAAGTTAGCAATTTGGTCTCGAGTTCCTCTGCCTCTTCGGAATCCAGCTTGTACTTCTGGGAGTTCTCGGTCCACATACTGCTGAAGCCTACCTTGGAGGATTTTGAGCATAACCTTGCTAGCGTGCGAATTGAGTGCAATTGTACGGTAGTTGGAGCATTCTTTGGCACTGCCTTTCTTTGGGATTGGGATGTAGACTGATCTTTTCCAATCCTCTGGCCACTGTTGGGTTTTCCAAACTTGCTGGCATATTGAATGTAGCACCTTAACAGCATCATCTTTCAAGATTTTAAATAGTTCAACTGGAATGCCATCACCTCGACTGGCCTTGTTGTTAGCCAGGCTTTCTAAGGCCCACTTGACTTCGCTCTCCAGGATGTCTGGCTCAAGGTCAGCAACTACATTGTCTGGGTTGTCCGGGATATCCAAATCTTTCTGATATAATTCCTCTGTGTATTCTTGCCACCTCTTCTTGATGTCTTCTGCTTCTGTTAGGTCCCTCCCATTTTTGTCCTTTATCATGTCCATCTTTTCACAAAATGTTCCTCTAATATCTCCAATTTTCCTGAACAGATCTCTGGTTTTTCATTTTCTTTTATTTTGCTCTATTTCTTTGCATTGTTCATTTAAGAAGGCTCTCTTGTCTCTCCTTGCTATTCTTTGGAAGTCTGCATTCAGTTTTCTGTAACTTTCCCTATCTCCCCTGCATTTTGTTTCCTTCTCCTCTCTGCTATTTCTAAGGCCTCGTTGGACAGCCACTTTGCTTTCTTGCCTTTCCTTTTCTTTGGGATGGTTTTTGTTCGTGCCTCCTGTACAATGTTACGAGCCTCTGTCCAAAGTTCTTCAGGCACTCTGTCCACCAAATCGAGTTCCTTAAATCTGTTCTTTAGTTCCACTGTGTATTCATAAGGGATTTGGTTTAGATTATACCTGAGTGGCCCAGTGGTTTTTCCTACTCTTAAATTGTGTAGAGATTTATATTTATGGTTTCAGTAATCTGTAGGGTTAAGGACTCCATTAGGATTGTCAAGCCACAGAAGCTGAGAGATCTAAATAGTTTTCTCATGACTTTGAGAGGGATTCCTGCCACTGTCGCCAATGATTGTGTCAGTTCCCCAGTTGCCCTCTGGTACTGGGAGACAACTTAGGTGGCAGGTATTATCTAATCAGGTGGCCTTTCCTAGTTGTTGTGTTGGTTTTCTGAAATGTTGAGGGCAATGAAGTCATCTCCACAGAAATGGTGGAGGAAGGCTTAGGAACTCTCTAGTGGGAGATGGGCTAGATCCTCTTTGAGGGCCAACTGACATGTACAAGCGGGTGCTGATAAGTTTTGAGCCTTTCCCAGAAAAAAAACGAGCTAAGAAGCTATATATTGCAGGGTGTATTGGCCAAAAATCAATTACCTATGATTTTAACCTTATCTTTCATGTTCAAGTCCAAAGTGAACATGGCAGCACCTCCAGAAATGTTCAGTGTGGAATAGCATAGGACCATAATCAAGTTCCTGTTTCTCCAAGGGAAAGGTGCAAAGCAGACCCATGATGAAATGTCACAAACTATGGATGACAGTGGCCCTTCATATACAACATTAAATGTTGAGTTGTCAGTTTTAAAACTTGTAAACTGACTGCCCAGCTGCAGGTTTTCCTGAAGAAAACTGATTATCATGATTGATTTCAATGGGGATCTTCCATCCTTGTTTCAGAACTTGCCTTTGTAGTCTAATTTGTAGTCTAACTTACTCAAGCTCTAGCACTCACAGACCAGGCTGTGTGTGGGGTTTCAACTGGCACACAGCTTTGATTAGGGTTGCATAGCTGCCTTCATGCTTAAAATATTTTATGTAAATGACTGTCATTGTTCTCTGAATAATTTAAATCACATAGAAAGGAAACCAAATTATCCTTCCAACACAATGTACTTAAAAAAAACTTGTAAAGTCTCAGTAATTTGAACATTTCGTTTCTCTCCTACACATCTTCAATGTACTTTCTTTCCTGTCACATGTGGGAGTAGAAATGTCATCCCCTTGGATGCTTCAATACACTTGATATCTTGCAATTGAGATGTAACTTATTCTCCAGAGATCATAGAAGCTTTTTGTTGCAATAAATTGTGTTGCTTTTAATGGCACTTCCATGCAACATGTTAAAGACTGGACTGAGGAATGCCAGAACACCTACAATTTTTTTTTCTTTTGATAGAAACAGAACTAAATCCTTGTTGCTACAGCAGATTGGTGTGCATGTGTCGCCATCATTGTTGTGGCCTAACCCTCTAAAGGCTATTTGTTTAGTCAAACAGTTAACTCACATCCCTCTGCCCTCTGAAGGAAATAAAATCTTCAGTGCTGTCCAAAAATGTAGACAGCAACTGAAAAAAAGGAGGCCAGTGCTCAACAGAAAAAAAAAGTAGAAAGTTGAAACTAAACTGAGATATGGAAACAGGAGGTCAAAAGGAAATGGGAAGACCAAGACCTACAGACTGCAGTCAGGATGACTGCAAAAAATCAAGCAAGAACCATAACCAATCAAAACTTGATCACAAAAAGTTAAGCTAGATCAGTTGCTGGATCGATTTAGAGAAGAAACATGAGACAGTTATAATTACAGCGTATAAAACGATCCCTATGCACGTAAGGTGTTAACACCATGTAGGTTTTCTTCCCACTTCCCTTAGTGCTGATAGCTAATGGGTGCATTGTTTGTGACTGTATTCTGTTAAGTGTTGTTTTAAAAAAATAACATTTTCACTGAGGAGAATCCTGTGTTTTGTGGTTTAGTCCATATGGGGAAGAAATTGATGAAGTGCAGCAATTACTCTTTTTTTGATTCTTGGAATGAGAAAAGGTTGCTGCTCTTTCCAGGCATTTCTCAAAATAAAAAAAATGGCCTTAGAAGCAACATCCCATTGTTTAGTGGGAAAGTTTGGCACCAGCAATCAAATGAGGTAGAGGAATACTGTAAACCATTGCTAAAAATAGTGTGAAGAAGTCAGTTTCACAATTGAGCAAAATGCACCTTGGAGGCTACATCTTTCAGCTCCTTGTCCCCTGAAAGATTACTACAACATTGCAGATTAAACCCTGAGGGGTCTGTGAGGTGCAATATGTCATTTCAATGTAATTTTGCCCCCAGGCCTGCTTTAGGCATTAAAAGGCCAACTGGAAATGGATGGCCAGAATCTGTTCTTTCTAGCAAATGACCAACCACACAGTAACTTTTGGGCAAATACACTATTTCTTGGTAGAGAGGTCAGTGACTAGAGGAGCAAAAGCAGGAGGTTATTCTCTTGCACTATTTTACTGTCATTATGTGCTGTCAAGCCACCTCTGACTTATCGTGACTCTATGAATAACTTCCAAAATATCCTTTAATTAATAGCCCTGCACAGCTCTTGTAGACTCACGGTTGTGGGTTCCTTTATGGAGGCAAGGCATTTCATACTTGGTCTTCCTCTTTTCTTGCTGCCAGACATTTGCTCTACCAAAATGGGTTAACTGGTCCAGCCTCTCAGATTAGCATCTCCTTTTTATACCATGCCAGGCACCCAACTGTACTCCTCCTTGATCTTGATAGTGATATTCATGAAGTTAAGAGTAACAAAATCAAATAAAAATGATTCTGATCAAAAGTGTTCAAAACTATTGGAGTAATTTGAAAATGATTGCTGAAATGGAGTAGAATTATCTTGTAGTTTCCATCCAAAATGTGACCCAATATCTCGCCATATATTTGAAGGGTGTATCAGCAGCAATTTCTATGATAATAAAAGGTCATTTCTGCAACAGAACATGTTTTTGGGTGAGTATAACAATATAGGAATCAGCTTCGTACTGTGTTAGATAATTGGTCAGTCTACCACAGGATTGTCAACTCTTGAATGTCAGTGGCTCTCAAGGTTTGATGCGTGATTCTTTCCCATTCTTACTTGAAGATGCTAAATGCTGTACCACTGAGTGACAGTCTCTCCTCAATCTGTTGGCCGAAGTAGGAAGGGAAAAATAGGGGAGAAAAAAAAGGCAAAATATTGTGGCACTTTAAAGTCTAATAGATTTATCTCAGTGTGAGATGAATCTGTTTTAGATGCAGGCATGCAAATGCTACATTCTTATATACATATGTATCATCCATCCATCCATCCATCCATCCATCCATCCATCCATCCATCCATCCATCCATCCATCCATCCATCCATCCATCCATCCATCCATCCATCCATCCATCCATCCATCCATCCATCCATCCATACCACTTGCACATATATTATTTATACTACCAATATTCCTTAGTAGTCTCCCATGCAAGTAATAAAATGAGTACTTAGCTTCCAAAATACAGTCTGTTCAGGTATAGCAAGCTATGTCAATGGAAAGAGTGGGCTGTGGGTTTATTCATATGTCCACCAAGATAAGGGACCTGTTACTCAGAAAATGTATTCAATGTTTATAATCCTGTGGGTGTTGTAGGTTTTTCAGGCTGTTTGGCTGTGTTCTGGAGGTTTTCTTTCCTATACCATCAGTATATCATATACCACCAGTCTCTGTGTCTGAACTACTATCCTCTGAAGATGCTGGCCACAGAGACTGACAAAATGTTAGGAAGAAAAACCTCCAGAACATGGCCAAAGAGCCTGGAAAACCTACAACAACCATCGGATCCCAGCCATGAAAGCCTTCAAGAATACATTTATAATCCTACATTACATTATGATAAATGGGTAGTTGTACGATTGGGCATTTTCTCTTCATTATGGTATTTTAGTACTTCCATGCAGAAGGTAGGCATTGATGTTTTCTTAGAGAATAAACTTTTATGGTCATTGTATCCATCTGAAGTTTCAGAATAGATTCTGGAGTAGCTAGTACCTATTCTATTTTTCTTAAGTGATAATATGTATCCTCTTGTAAGCTACTACAAAAGCAGATACAGTAATTCTGTTTAAGTGATCATGTAATGATCACAGCCCTACAAAGTATATTGAATAATATATGGCCTTCAAAGAAAATTAAAAAAAAGTTATGTACTTACCTTCTTGCTCCCCTTTTAAAATGCCTATTGAAATACAACTTCTCATGTTCTGTGGTGCCATGTCAGCTGCCGCTAGTGGAGGCTTATGAAATGCTTCTTTCTAACGTATTCTCCTTTCTAACTCTCTTTTCTGCAAAAGCAGACTGTGAATTATAATAAAGAACCTAAGTCTGGTGTAGGTATTTAAATTATGCCAAAAAAACCTCTGGAATCAGCATTGTTTATCATGAAGTACTCCAAAAAAACTAAATTGTTAGCAGTATGGATTGTCATGGAGCAAGATTTAGTGTCTTAAACCCTCCATGAAAGTGCAGGAAAATGTACAGCTTTCAAATTGTTATGAAGAGATAACTGATGTTAGTTTCCTTCCAAGAACTAAGGAGGCAACCTTTTAAAGTATGCATTTGTTTTGAAAATTGTCTATTCATTTGGATGAGTCAGAATGCTTTAAAAGGAGCAGTTTCGTGCTGAAAATAAATGTCTTCTGAATGAGAATTAATTGATTTCTGGAGGAAATGAGAAAAGAAAGCAGTAAACAAACAGTATGTTAGTATCATTGCATGCAAACATACGCACACACACTCACACGGACATGCGCGCACGCACGCATGCACATACACACAGAGAGAGAGAGAGAGAGAGAGAGAGACCCCTCAACAGAAACAAAATCCCTTTTTAATCTTCAGAGTGCCTGTGACTCACTCACTGCAGTTCCAGTGCAGGATAGCTAATAGTGTGAGGGCTGATTTGGTGTGGTAAACGTGTCTTACTAAGATTCAAGAGACCTGCATTCAAATGCCTGCTTAGCCATGGAAACTGACTAGGGAGTGGCAATGGTAAACCACTCCTTGAATGTATCAAAAACTGTCTTAGGGTCATTATAAGTGTGGTGTTTACCCTCATGGTCCCTGCTTGTTTTTCACTCACAAAGGCTCACGTCGCATTTTCTGCTCACTGCCACCAGTGGATTACTTCAGTCCACAATTTAAATGACATATGCCAGGACACTTGTCTTGTGGACAGAAACAGAACTTATTTATTGAAGTGAAGCAGATTGAATAATAACAGACTTTTCTCAGATACAGATTATATATAAGCAATTCATCAACAGTTCTCTCAGTACATCTTTCTTTTCTCTTGGAATATCATTACCACCTTCTCTACCTATTTTCCTAATCAGCTCTATCTCTCTGATTAACCCTATCTATCTCAGTATCTGTTTTCTCTCTCTCTGACTAACCAGCCTTCCCTCTCTCTATGTATATCTCCCAACCTCCTCCTACCACCAAGCCTCATGTAGCTGCTGACTCCACCTCTCCAACCCTCTAATAGGTTAATGCAAATTAGCTCATGAATATTAGTGGCATAAGTGACATGGGTGGTCGCCACAGTAAGTAACAGAGTTACCTAACTCTGCACAAAAACAATAGAGCTAATATTATCGCCATAATATATCAAGGTACCGTTAACTTTTTATTACAGATTTAAAAGATGGCCTTTGTAAACATTCATTATTGTTGCAGCCTTGATTTTTGTTCCTGAAAGTATTCGTTTATTGAGACTCCTTCTTAGTAAAAAAGTCAAGTCTTTTTTTTCTCTTGTTGATTTTTGTAGAGGCCATGGTGGAAGAACCAGACATTGTCTTTAAAGAACTGCTAGAAAGAGCAAAAGCTGGGGACCCTAAATCACAGACAGAGGTAATCTTTTTCCTTCCCTATTTTTTTGCATAACTTGTTTTGGTGATTCTCCCTAATTATAGTATACATTGTATGCTGTAGGTGTTACTTCAAAAGATTATAAACACTGAGCAAAATCCTGTTGCCTAGATTTGCACCAGCACAACCTAGATTGGGCACTGGAAACAATTCATTTTAACATATTAAAAGATTATTACAATCACAGAATAATTGAGTTGGAAGGGGCCTATAAGGCCATCAGGTCGAACCCCCTGCTCAGTTTATGAATCCAAGTCAAAGCAAATCTGATAGATGGTTGTCCAATTTTCTCTTCACCATCACCCTAGGAAATTGGTTCCATTGTTGTACTGCTCTAATTGTTAAGAACTTTTTCCTGATATTCAGCCTAGATCTGGCTTCCTATAACTTGACCTTATTATTACTTGTCCTGCACTCTGTGATGATCAAGATCGGCCCCTCGTCTTTATAACTACCTTTCAAGTATTTGAAAAGTGCTATTAGATCGCCCCTCAGTCTTCTTTTCTTAAGGCTAAATATGCTCAGTTCTTTCAGTCTCTCCTCATAGGGCTTGGTTTTCACTCCCCTGATCATTCTTGTTGCCCTCCTCTGAACTTGCTCCAGTTTGTTGGCATCCTTCTTGAAGTGTGCTGTCCAGAATTAGACATAGTACTCTAGATGGGGGCTCACCAGTGCTGAATACAGGAGGACCAGTATCTCATGGAATATGGAGACTATTCTTATATTCTTCTCTCCCCAACACACCCTTTTCAGGTTCTGAGTCTTGCCATGAGAAAGCCTTTAGGAGTCTTGGGGTGAGTGAGTGGGGGAGACTTTAATAGTAAAACATTGACACTGGATCACTGCCACCAGGATTGGGACCACCAGCAACAGTTTATAGGCTGAACTTTGCCTACTCTTGTTTAGTGGTAGCTGAAAATCTAACAGATTTTATTTGGCATACACATTTCATGGATTGTTGTCTACTTTGTCGGCTGCATTCACAAGCTAACATGGAGAGTGATGTGGGGGAGTAGAAATGCAGAAGGTAAAAACATGAATAATTATCTGAATGGGAGTAATTTAAGAAATAGTCTTTGGAAGATGCCAAGAACATCTTAATGTAGATATGCTAATCAATCCATATGTGAAATCACAATCTTCCACTAAGAGCAACATATCTGCATAGAGAGGAATGTTTACTAATTTCTGCCCAGCTGTATTATACTGAATTTATGAAGCATGTGTGATTCTGTTTGCTTTGCTTTTGTTTATTAAAAGAAAAAGACCTTTGTTGCATTGATAGGTTCACTTAGAGATACAGCATGGTGTGGAGTATGGCTAGCTTGGATTTTTGGAACCTTCTTTGTAAATTGTACCTTTTAGTACACTGGAATGAAGTTGCATGACCCAAAAACAAACACAGAACCAACCCAAAATCTTACAGCTGCCCATCCCCCTTTTCTTGATTTACAGGCGGAAACAGACTAAGATGGCTCTGAAAACTACAGGAATGATGTTAAAAGCAATCTAATGAAGCAGAAGCTTGTTTTCATATCTCTGTAGGTGGGGAAACATTACTTGAAGCTAGCAGAAGGCCAAGATGAGGAACTGAACAGTTGCAGTGCTGTGGAGTGGTTGATCCTTGCTGCCAAGCAGGGACGGAAAGAAGCCGTGAAACTGCTGCGGAGATGCTTAGCAGAAAGAAAAGGTATTGCTTCCTTCCTTCCTTCCTTCCTTCCTTCTTTCACCATTTCTGTCCATGCTGTAAATTTTGAAGGACTTAAAACAAACTGCCTCTTGAAAGAAAAGCATCTTAGAAAAGCCCAATATTTAATGTTACATTTATTTACCTTTAAATTGTACATCATGCAATTCTTCCTTAACCAGTTAGCATATCCAGAACAGCTTATCAGAGAGATAACAAACATAAGCCAATAAAGCAGCACCATGAGATAAAAAATTAAAGTTACTTAAAACCTCACAGTAACTTAAATTAATTAAAAATATTTAATATTGGGTTTTTTTTTTTTTTTGGTTCATCTGATGTCCACTTTATAGCTGATTTGATGCTTGGTGAACTTCCCAAGGGAGGGCATCCCACAGTCAGAGTTTGAACCACACACACACACACCCAGGTGCCTACATGTATTAGCTTAAAACCTTTATGGTAAGTAATCAATTCTTAGGAGGTAACATTTTACAATGTATAAGAACCACTGTATAAAAGCTGGGAAGCCAGCAAATTATGGTATTATGGGGAAGTGAGCATGGCCATCCTATAGGGCCAGATAGGGATCAGATTTGGCCCTAGGGCTTGGACTTCCTACACCTGTTTTAAAACCTTAATATGTTAAGGCAATAGAAAGACAAACCTAACTTTTAAAATGTTTTATAAGTACTTTACAAATCTTCCTGTAACAAATTGTGAACAGCTTTCATCGGAAAGGGGGGATAATAATAGCTAACACTTTCCTTTTCCCTTGAGGCATCACTTCAGAGAATGAACAAGAAGTCAAGCAATTATCATCAGAGACTGATTTGGAAAGGGCTGTGAGAAAGGCAGCCTTAGTCATGTATTGGAAATTAAACCCAAAGAAGGAGAAACAGTTGGCGGTCTCAGAACTATTAGAAAATGTTGGCCAAGTTGACAGTGAAGGTTTGTATTCTCTAAAGATTAAAAGATGTACTAAGCATAAAAGCCTTTGAAAAATTATGAGTGGAATGCCATAAAATGAGAAAAATAAAACAAAACAGTAGAACCACCATATCTGCAGGATTAATACCCACAGTTTCATATGTGTTTCAAGGATATATTTCCAGAACTGGCCGCTAAAAGGACCCAGAGACCACACTATATATAGGGTTTCTGTATTTGTGCTTTCTAGCATCCACAGGGAAACACTTAGAACCGATCCCCCACAGATATCATGGTCCTACTGTGATTGTTCGTAACTTGCTCAATTGACATCATAGTGACATCCATTATTTCATTAACATGCAGAAATGAAAGAATCTGTATTCAATATGCATCCTTTGATTGCAAAAACAGTGTTATATGCTTGTCTCAGGGGCTCCCATATCTGTTTCCACTCATTCTTTTTTTTAAAAAAATTGATGTTATTGCTAGTGTGGTTGGGTTGGTACGGACAATATTCCTGTTGCCCTTTGCACCTCCACCAGTTTTAATTCACATATCTTCTTGGTCTATATCAATCAGAAGTTCCTCTGCCTCCGAGAGGCCAAAGATCTCCACCATAGAAAACTGCTGGATAGCTCAGTGATTGTGGCTTTATTCTTCTATCTGGACATTTAAGCGCTAAGGTTAAAAGCTTGAAAAATCTATTAGTTGGGGATCTCCCACTTGAAACAGAGAACATTTCAGTGGGTTGTAAACCTTCAGAAAGGACCTTCTGCTCAGACATGGGTGCATATCTGTACATCTGCTATGGCGAAATGTTTTCATCTTTTCTCTTCCATTGCTGCTTTCTCAATAAGCCTGTTATCTATTGGGATTGTTCAAAACTTCTGTCTGAATTTAGCTGGCTGCCCTATCTATTGGTGCAATAAGATGAGAATAGAAAGATCATGCTGGAAAGGATTGCTTCCAGAATGCAGTCTTAAAAGGGACCTTTCAAAATTACTCTTCTGTCTGGTCCCTGTTACACTAGCCCACTTAAAAAAATTGCAGTCCTGCTGCATGACCAAAAAAGTCAAGGGAACAGAGCATGTTTTCTCTCTTCTGGGGGACTGTTATGGTCAGCAGTGGTGAAACAAAAAGGTAGCTCAGGATCACTGGAATGAGAAAGCCTTAGCTGTGTCTCTTTTCTGGAGCTGTCTGGATGCCCTGACCCGTTCATCATCTGTCCTGTTCACCTGTGCTCCTCAAAGGGTTCTGCAGCCACCAATACAGTTCTTGATCCAAAAGGGGTCACCTGCTTATGTGTTAGAAGTTCTTTTTACTTATGCCATTACTGAACACTACCTGAGCATCATTCTACCCATATCCAAGTTAGCTAACTTGCTTTTTCCTATATGTGAGGTTGTATAAAGAGCACGTTCATTGTAGCTGTAGTACCTTGAGTGGTCCTCTGTGCAGTTGCACATCTCATCTGCCTTTTCTTTTTGGAGTACTGTATTTCACTGGTCGGATTTCTGCTGGGTTGTGGTAGCAGTACACTGGAAATGAGGAAGAAAAAAAAGGTTCTGTCCTTGGGATATGTGCCATGGGCCTTCCATGTTTTTGTAATAACTAAAATCTAACTCTAGAGCAGTGGTCTCCAAACTATGGCCTGCGGGCCACATCCGGCCCTCCTTGCCATTTTATCCAGCTCGTTCCCTTCAGCCCACGCATGCACATGGGGGGTACATGTGTGTGTGCAGGTGAGCAGGCATCCATGCATGCATGCGGTGTGTGTGTGTGTGTGGCTGTGTGTGTGTGTGTCCATGTGGGCAGGCAGTGGTGTGGGCTGGGTATGTGCATACAGGGGCAGGTGGGGGGCATGCATGTGTGCAGGCATACAGGTGGGTGGCGGTATGGACGGGGTGTGTGCATGCGTGCAAGGAGTGGGCAGGGGATCATGTGGGTGGGCAGATGGGTGTGTGCATGCATACATCCACGCGTGCATGTGTTCCTGTTCCTTCAGCCCTCAAAGATGTTGAAAATATCTGTTGTGGCCCTCAAAAGTTTGGAGAGCCCTGCTCTAGAGGATTCCAGGTGTTGCTCTGTGCAGTTCAGTATGACAGCACAGATTGTCTATAGAACTGATCATGACACTGGCACCAAAAAAAATAAAAAATAAAAAAGTTGCATGCTTCTGTAAAAAGGTATCCAGTACACTGATTATTGGAGCACAGTGGCAGATTCATCTCCATGAATTTTCCTACTGATACTAAGAAACTTGTCTTTCTGAGAACAGGTGCTGAGAAGCCACCTGGACCACTTCCAAAGTCTGTACAAAAACAGAGAAGAATATTGGAACGCCTGGTGAGCAGTGAATGTAAGGAAGCATTTATCATGTTCATCTTTGGTATTTGTATTATGATTTGGGGATGAACTTTCATTGTTTGTCTGTTCAGGGATGTATTGACTAGGATATTTCCTTAAATTGTAGATTGTAAGCTGCTGTTAGGACTAGCACAAGGAACTATTCCACTTTGTTCTGAAATCTGGAGTGTGGAGCCATGAATGGTTCCACTTATCAATCAGAGAGTGAGTGAGGCCAATTGATTTATATATGGGCATGTGCCCTAGTAGAAACCCATTGGTTCCCCAGACCCCACCCTAGTGCTTCATCTGTCTTCTTCCTCTATCCTAACTTTTTTCAGGTTGAAGGATGTGTTTTTTTAAACTCTTTCAACTTTCACTCAAGCCAGTTTATAAAAATATTGATTAGAGTATGTTTTGTGTGTTTAAAGAAAGAAAGAAAATTGACTGAATCCTGGTGGACAACACCTGAACATGATAGAGAGAAAGAAACGTACAATTGCAACCTTTATGGCATGCTTAGTGGAAGAGTCCATCAAATGTCTACAATCAAATAATTAGATTTAGTGGGCCTAATTGCTGCTTTAGAGGAATTGATCTCAAGATATGACCAACCAGATATTTATGTTGGACAATCAATAATGTCTATGTAAATCAATGTGCTTCTGGTTGTTACAGTTTCCAAGAGTTTTGGTGATAACAAACTTACAAAAATATTTGTAAGATGGCTTAGTTCATTGCTAGGGAAAAGAGTCACAGTTAAGAGCAAAAGAAGAAGACATTCTTCACCAGTGGAACTCCAAAGCCACTTTCAGATTCTTGAAGAGAAGTTTGACAAACAGCATGCAGAGGAAGACATACAGGAAACCCTGCAGAAGGACACGGGAGAAGCTTAACTTCATCCAAGCAGATTTGCTGAATCCACACCCTACAAAAAGAAGATAAGAGTAGTTGTAGTAGGGGACTCCCTACTGCATTGGATTGAAATCAAAATATGATGGGAAGATCTATGGATGTGCTAGGTATGATGTGTACTTGGAGGATGAGTCAGGGATGTGAGAGAAGGATTGCTGTCACTCATAAAACCCAAATATGGGTTTATCCCTTCTCACCCACAGCAAAGAGGAACTATAAAGAAATCACATAAGATGCTGGCTCTCTGGGAAGGAAACCCAAGTACTTTTGAGGTCCAAATAGTCCTCCTGTCCATCCTACCAGTACTCAGAAGAGAACAGAAAGGGAAAGAAAAAAAAATACTCCAGGTGAAAGCTGCTTATGAAGGTCATGCTAATGTGAAGAATTTGGATTTGGGAACCTTGGGCTTTGCTTCATAGAAGATGGATTGCTGGCAAATGATGGGCTGCCCCTCACAAGGACTAGGAAGAATATGTTTGGCCAGAGCATGAATAATTTGATTAGGAGAGCCTTAAAATGAAGTGGAAGGGAGAGGGAGATGCCGTCTCAGAGGTAAATATAGATGGAGCCTTATGTACAATAAGAGGAACAGACCAAGCAGCTCTAATGAGACACAGTAATAATCTTCATAAAAATGTACAGTGGAAATCAGGCCACAGAGCAGACAATCTCTGGTGTCTATACATGAATGCCAAGGGTATGGGGCGGGGGAGGGAAGAACTGGTAATCTTAGTTCAGGAGGGTAAATATGACTTGATAGGGATGCCTGAAACTTGGGATGATTCCCATGACTGTACTATAGCAATTGAGGGATATACAGTGGTGCCTCGCACAACAATGTTAATTGGTTCCAAAAAAAAAACCCGTTCTGTGAAATATCGTTCTGTGAAACACCATTTCCCATAGGAATGCATTGAAAACCAGTTAATCCATTCCAATTGGAATGGATTGCTGTCCTTAAGCGAAAATCCCCATAGGAAACATCGTTGAGGGAAACGCGGTTCCCCAATTGAAATGCGTTGAAGCCGACTCAGTGCATTTGAGTGGGTTTGCGAAGTCCATTTTTGCTCCTGTAAAAGTGCCTTAAACTGTTTGAAAAGTGTTTTAAATGCTTGCTATCGTTATCCCACCTCCTGAAACCTATGCAAACTTAATTTGGAGTTGTTCTGAGGCGTCCTTAATTTTTGGTGATTTTTTTGTTTTTTCTCTCATTGAAATGCATTGGACAGACAGTTCAATAGAGTTCAATGAGAGAAAAAACAAAAAATCACCAAAAATTAAGGACGCCTCAGAACAACTCCAAATTAAGTTTGCATAGGTTTCAGGAGGTGGGATAACGATAGCAAGCATTTAAAACACTTTTCAAACAGTTTAAGGCACTTTTACAGGAGCAAAAATGGACTTCGCAAACCCACTCAAATGCACTGAGTCGGCTTCAACGCATTTCAATTGGGGAACCGCGTTTCCCTCAACGATGTTTCCTATGGGGATTTTCGCTTAAGGACAGCAATCCATTCCAATTGGAATGGATTAACTGGTTTTCAATGCATTCCTATGGGAAATGGTGTTTCACAGAACGATATTTCACAGAACGGGTTTTTTTTTTGGAACCAATTAACATTGTTGTGCGAGGCACCACTGTATATCCCTCAATTGCTATAGTACAGTCATGGGAATCATCCCAAGTTTCAGGCATCCCTATCAAGTCATATTTACCCTCCTGAACTAAGATTACCAGTTCTTCCCTCCCCCGCCCCATACCCTTGGCATTCATGTATAGACACCAGAGATTGTCTGCTCTGTGGCCTGATTTCCACTGTACATTTGGGTGGGTGGGTAGGTAGGTATGGATGGATAGGTATCGATATGATCAATTTATACAATTATACTTAAAAGGAAGATTAAAAGAACAGCAAATTTTCTAGCATTGCTATATTTACTAATCTATCTTTTCCCTATTTGGAACCTCACATTCTTTAATCTGTGCTTTCCTGACTATCTTTTATGACATTATTCCCTATATATCTACCAAACATAATAAAAGTCTCCTCCTATGTTTTACATTTCTCACACTATTTAAAACCATTTTTATATCTTTTTAAAAAATTCATTGGCATTGTGTACCATTAGTAAATCATATATCATCTGTAAAACATCTTATCTGCATTTTCTTTAATAATTACTGATTTTTGAACATTAATACAATGGTGCCTTGCTTGACGAGGATAATTCGTTCCATTCAAATCGCTGTTAAATGAAATCCTCGTCAAGCGAAACGAAAAAGCCCATTGAAATGCATTGAAAACCGGTCCAATGCGTTCCAATGGGTGAAATACCTCAGCGTCCAGCGAAGATCCTCCATAGGGCGATCATTTTCTGGTTCCTGTATTGTGAGGAATCCATCCTAAAGCACAGCAGGGAGCCATTTTGCACAGCGGGTGGCCATTTTGAAACCCAACGATCAGCTGTTTTTGATCAGCGTTAAGCGAAAAATCGGTTCCTGAATCAGGGAACCGATCGTCGTGAAACGAAAAAAGCCCAAAATCACATCATCAAGCGATTTCCTCGTCTAACGAGGGAATCGTCAAGCGAGGCACCACTGTATTGTCTAATGCTCTGCTTTTCTGTCACTGCTACCTTGCATGTACAGTTATGCTCTGTAGTTGCAATCAGACTGCTGTCTAGTGTTGTTGCCTTACAGATTGACTATAATGATGCCTTTCTGTGAGTGGCCCCCATAGTCCCCTCTATCACAACACAATGTTTTTTGCTCAACCTCTTATTTCTATAGTGTGCTTTCCTATAGTGTGCTCCCTGACACAACTCCGGGAGGCAGTAGAAGACAGAAGGGCCTGACGTGCTCTGGTCCATGGGGTCACGAAGAGTCGGACACGACTAAACGACTAAACACACACGCTTTCCTTTAGATTTTCTTGCTTGCTCTTCTGCTCTAGTCAGGCTCCTTTCTGCCTCTGATCCTAATGATCCACTTTATTTCTCCTCTTCTCATTGTTCATCTGCTTTTCTCTTTTTTCTGCCTAGCCACTTCCCCTTTTTTTCATAAAATCTTCTGCCTTCATTTTTGAGCTAGTATAATAACTCTGCTCCTGGAATTCAAAGAGGACACCTTCAGGCACCAACCACTTATACATAATTGAGTGATCTCAAGAGGGATGTCAACTCCGTATATTGTCTCCTTCTCTATCTTATTTGCCACGGGATATGTTTCAAGATCTTAATTTCTGTATATTTTCTATTACGTTCCTTGCCTTGTATATTTCTTAGAACTTTATCTTGAACTATCTTTCTCGTAAATTTAACATGAATTTCTCTGGTGAGATTTTTATTCCTGGTGAATGCTGTATTAATTCTTCGTGCTGTGTCTATATTTTGTTGAACATCCTCTGGTCGCATCTCCATGAGTGATGCTACATAGGTAGAAATCACTTGCGCTGTATCTTCTCCTTTTTTGTTCTGGCAGGTTCTGGAATCTAATTATGGCATTGGCTCTTTCCATTTGTAGATTTAATAGAGTAATTTCATCTTGCTTTCTTTACTATTTCAGTTCTTCCATCTCTGTATTCAAAGTCTCCAGTCTTTCTTGTGTTGTTTTTGATGTCCCATCATTCTGGCTATTTGTTTTTTATTTTTTGTAATTTGATTTTGAGTATCAGTTATTTGCATCCTTAAATCTTTCATTTGGACACATAGCTGAGCCATCCCTCCTTGTAGTTGCTGTCAGCCCTCCTTTCTCTGATATTTGCATTAGAGTGCAATTGTCTGGGGGGAAAACTCTAGTGTACAAGTAACTGTTGATGTGCAGGGGTACTTTGTCATTGGGGGACCTACGTAGCTGGGTTTTGCAGTTGCACAGAGTCCATACACATCAGCAGCTACTTCCATGTTGGGGGGTCTTTGCAGAAAAACCACATTCAGGATACAAACACTTGAAGGAGGTCAGTTCAGTGTTGGGGCAAGAGTAAAAATGTAGCCCTGGTCTTGATTCAGCACATAATGGAAGCAAGCAAAACAACCTATTAGGGCAAGAATCTGCATTACTAGAAAAAAAATGAAGGAATAACATTATTTGCAAGACCATGGTACATGGACAATAAGCCAATAAACATGGACGGCAAGGCAAAACTTGGGAGTTACAAATTTGAATTAAATTAATAGCATATTAACAGTCTACTTGTACTTTAGGGAGATGGCCATGAAATGTATCTATTAATAATAATTTTTAAAGCCAGTATGACTAGAGTTCAGGCTATCAAACAATTACAGTGAAGACTGATTTTTTTTAACCCTGTGATCAGTAGAGGTGGTGTGCACTGTCACAAATCATGTTTCTTTACCCCTTCTCTTTTATGCAGCCATATATTTCCTTAGCCTTTCAAGAACACATTCATACAAATGGGACAGAATGCCTGGACTAGCAGAGATGCCCCACATTGTCTTGCTCCTATATTATCTTTTGCTGGTATCAAGGCACTGTCCTTCTCATGTTGATTTGGGCCTAAAAGAAGAATGATGGCCATGGTGTTTATGACTGTATTAGTCAGGAGTTAGAGAATCATTGTTTGGCCTTGTTGAGATCTTCAGTTGCTCTTTCTGTGGGATGGCTGACACCCTATTTGTCAGTGTTCTTAAATACAGACAATTAAACTCTACAATGTGCCTGATCTCTGCTTTCCAGACTCTTCTGTTATCTGTGTTTACACTGCACTGCCATCAGCATTTTGTTTCTTGTAATAGCTTACTGTTTCTTGTCAAGCAGTTTGCAATTTGTTATCAGGTTTTATCTTAATTTTCAGATATATGCAAAAAGACCCTGAAATACATAGAAATATTGTATTGTATTTTATTTGAGTTCTATTCTGCTCATCTGGCTACCAGACCACTCTGGGCAGTTTGTTTGTTTGTTTGTTTGTTTGTTTATTTAATATGCCGCCAACACTACCCGAAGGTCTCTGTGCATCTTACAACATTTAAAATACAATAAAAAGGCAAAATAATTAAAATGCAATAATTCAAAACAATAAACATAATGGTACAAAATCAAACTAATAGTAAACAACCGACATTTTAAATAATGGGAATTAAAATGCTTAGTTTCCCCCTCCCCAGTGACCTTATTTAAAAATATCAATCACACAGAATTCAAAACAATAAACATAACGGTATATAATCAAACTAACAGTAAACAACCAACATTTTAAATAATGGGAATTAGTTTCCCCCTCCCCAGTGACCTTATTTCATTTTCATTTCTGAGATGGGCACTCAATCACCTGACTCTGCTATTAGAAAGAGTGATAACGTGGAATGATAACACCGTCTGTAATACTAATGGACACTACTTAAGAGAAGGTAACTCATTTGTCATTATTATTGACCTGTTAATTGTAGAGAAGCAAAACAAAAACTGTTTTGGAATAAGAACTCAGGTCTGATTTGCTTGTCCATTCTGTGTAGGAAGCATATGGTGACGTTTGGTGCAGCAGAAATGTTGAATGACTGGTATTTTTCTTTTCCAGGTCATAAAGTATCCACTTCATGCCATTATGGAAATCAAAGAGTACTTGATAGATGTCGCATCGAAAGCAGGAATGCATTGGCTTTCCACTATTATTCCAACACATCACATCAATGCTCTCATATTCTTCTTCATCATCAGTAACTTGACAATTGACTTCTTTGCATTTTTTATTCCATTAATTATCTTCTATCTCTCTTTCATTTCCATGGTGATTTGCACTCTCAAAGTATTCCAGGATAGTAAGGCTTGGGAAAATTTCCGTAGCCTGACTGACTTGCTGCTCCGTTTTGAACCAAACCTAGATGTTGAGGAAGCACGAGTGAACTTTGGCTGGAATCATTTAGAGCCATACCTTTATTTCTTACTTTCTGTATTCTTTGTCATTTTTTCCTTCCCTATAGCAGACAAGGAATGGGTGCCGTGTTCAGAGCTAGCTACCATCTCTGTTTTCTTCATGGTGACAAGTTACATGAGTTTGGGCACAAGTGCTGAACCCTACACACGAAGGGCATTGATGACAGAGGTTGCTGCAGGTTCCCTTTTCTTATTGCAGGTTGTACCTCTGAATCTGGGTTACTTGAAGCTATTGGGAAAAACATTTTACAGCATCCCCATTGGCCACCTCTTTGTGTTGAATGTGAGCATTCCTTGCCTTTTGTTCATGTATTTATTTTATCTTTTCTTTAGAATGGCACAGATGCAGAACTTTAAAGGCACATACTTGTACCTGATTCCTTATTTAGTATGCTTCATGTGGTGTGAACTCTCAGTGGTTATTTTACAAGAATCATCTGGCATAGGTCTAATTCGTGCCTCAGTTGGCTACTCCTTATTCCTGTTTGCGCTTCCTATTCTAGGGGTTGGTGTTGCACTGGTATGTCTCATTCACTTCATAAAATGGTTCATAACACTAGAGCTTATAAAGATTGTTGCAACTGTTGTTCTCTGTGTTGTTCCTTTGCTTTTCCACTGGTGGACAAGAGCTAAATTTTCTCTGGTTGAAATTGCGAAATCACTAAGAAAGAGTTCAATTGTTAAACTTATTCTAGTATGGCTTACTGCCATAGTATTGTTCTGCTGGTTTTATGTGTACCGCTCAGAAGGAATGAAAGTGTACAACTCCACCTTGACATGGAATCAATATGGGTTTGTGTGTGGGCCACGGGCTTGGAGGGCAACTAACATGGCACGCACCCAGATTCTATGTAGTCATCTAGAGGGCCACAGAGTGACATGGACAGGAAGGTTCAAATATGTTAGAGTAACTGACATAGATAATAGTGCAGAATCAGCAATAAACATGCTTCCCATTTTTATTGGTGACTGGCTGAGATGCTTGTATGGTGAAACCTATCCAGTATGTGACCCAAAAAATGTTACCATTGCTGAGGAGGAACTCTGTCAGCTAAAATACCTGACAAAACATGAGTGCCACATGAAAAGATTTGATCGCTATAAATTTGAAATAACTGTGGGGATGCCTTTCAGTAATGTGAATGGAAGTAAAACCATAGAAGATGACGATGTGACCAAAGATATTGTGCTGAAAGCAAGCAATGAATTTAAGAAAGTACTGCTGAACTTGCGGCAAGGAAGCATAATTGAATTTAGTACCATCCTGGAAGGCCGTCTTGGCAGCAAATGGCCTGTCTTTGAACTGAAAGCCATTTCATGCTTAAACTGTATGTCTAAACTTTCACCTGCTGGAAGACATGTGAAAGTAGAACATGACTGGCGAATCTCTGTTCAGAAAGCTTTCAGATTTGTCTTCAATTTTTTCTTCTCTCCATTTTTGTCAGTCACAAATTAAGCTTTGCGATTCACTGCACTATCCAAAATTGGGCTGAAAATCAGCTACAACAATATTTGAAATACATGCTGATGTTTCTGAGTATTGTGCATGGTGCAAAATGCAGTCTTGCTAATCCCTGTGTTGCAAAAGCTATGTTTTAAAAATGAGTTTGCTAAAAGCATGGACAGTTTTGTTTTCTTACAAGATTTGACATTACAGTTATTAAAAGCACTTTACTCTTCAGATGATTCATCCTTCTAGTTATGTGTACATGGAATTGTACAAGATGAAGCTGACATGTGTGAGAACATTTTAGTATCGATTGTACTATTATCTTATAAAGTTATTGGAACTGTGAGGCTGCATGTGTGATTTACATAGACAAGTATGCCTGTATTAGCATACACTGGATTCATTCTTTCATTCAGTTACTGGTTCATAGTTCACTGGCAGCATCTGTTGTTTAAGAAGAGAAAAGAAACTACCTTTAGTAAGAAATTTCTATTGCTGATCTACATATATCTGTCCTGGAAATCAACAACACCTGGTTCATGGCCTATACTTGTAAATGCAAGCATAAAATTAAAGAATGAAAACCAATAGCACAAAAGCTTTGCAGTCTCATTTGCTTTCCTTACATACATATATGATTCTAGCATGCTATAACAGACTCCACAGAGTATGCAGAATGTCTGGGAAACATTTAGTTGTCATGCCAGTCCCCCATTTTCATAACATTTTGTTGCCTTCAGGTTTGAACTGACATATACTCCATGCTTTCTCTCTACAAAACCGTAATTTAAAAATAAAGAGAATGCTAGTGTTCTTAATTTGTGAAGAACTGCGGAGAGAAACTCTAAATATTTGCAATAGTGAGAGATTAAAGTTGGAACAGAATGGCATCATCTGAAACAGAGACTTCTTAATAAAAATTCATGCAAAAATAGTGGGATGTATTGAACAAACTACCAAGCAATATTTTGGACCTCATGACCAATTAATATTAATCTTTCATTAACCCTCTATAGCCCCCAAATCCACCAGAAGATAACAGAATGGCCCAGAATGATAGCATCCAACAAATTCACAACATACATGTGATTAGATGAGATGGCTGCAGCAAGCCACAAAGCATCTGCACAAACAACATTTCAGTATGAAATCTGGTTCCTGGGGATGTTTTGTGATGTAATAAGATACATCGGTCCCTTCTAGTCTGATGAGACAGGTGGATCTTGTCATGGTGTCCTACTTGGAAGTTCCTGTTCCAGGCTGTTTTGTACCATATTGATTTTCTGCTTGGATTGGTTATAGGAATGTGGTCCCTGAGGCTGGTTGCATCTGTCCTCTCTAGTCTGATGGGAAAAGGTTTTCATTGGAGTTTCATTGTTCTGGACTATTTTTTTACAATAATGATTTTCTGCCTAGAACAGGAACTTGAATGTTCTGAGGAGCATTTTATGGCTGGTATATCATCAGCCCCCTCTATTTAGTTGGGGATGGTGAGTTTGGTTGAAGTGTTCTACTCCAAATTTTCCCTTCTGAGCTGTTTTTTTGCAATATCAATTTTCTGCTCAAAATATTGTTTGTGCATATGATTTGTGGCGTTGACATCGGTCTCTAGTCACATGTTTTATAACAATAAATGTTGAACTGCAGAACTGGAAAGGACCCTTTTCTGCTCAAAATATTGTTTGTGCAAATGATTTGTGGCGTTGACATCGATCTCCTCTAGTCACATGTTTTATAACAATTAATGTTGAACTGCAGAACTGGAAAGGACCCTATGGATAATCAATTCCAGCCCCTTCCAAGTGGGGAATTGAACTTCCAGTGGCTTGTTAGATTAGGATAGAAGTTACTGTGCTGGGCCATTGTACTGTATTCTGTTCTGGCAGATTTGGGGGCAATAAGGATTAATGAAACAGTAATATTTGTTGGGTTTGAGGCCTGAAACATTGTTTGGATGTGCGTCCAACACATCCCACTATTTTTGGCATCAATTTTTATTAAGCCCCTGTTCTGGTCTATTCTGTTCCAATATTGCCCTGCTAAATTCTTTATATTTGTTTCATGATGAGCGTGCAATAATCTGGTTGTATTTTAAATTTCTCTTTGTGAATCTCTACCAGTTTCCAAATGGTACTGGACATCTCTTAGATATCTTTCTTGAGTTGCTAAGGGCCTGTCCAGACAGACTGTTTTGAGTGTGTGATGGATTGGGTTATAAAAGGATCTGTTGAGGTCGGGTGGGGGGGGAGGAGTGATGTGCCAGTTGTTCTGCTCTTCCCATCTGAATAGCAAGTGACCTCTTGTAGTCCTATCAGCTATCAATTAAGCGCTTCCCCTGATCATCTGCGGGTGAGCAGAAGGAATTTTTTAAAAAACATAATTCCTCTCTCCCTCTCTCAGTTCTGTTTCCTTTTTTCCCTTTACCCTGCTGAATCCCTTCCCTAATTCTCAACCCACTTCCTCTCACACTGTCCCTCAGAATCTGCAGCTGCAATGGCAGTTGGAAGCTGAGGCTGTTGGAGGCTGCTATCTCCCAGCTACACAGACTAAACAACCAGCCTGCCCAAAAGAATGCATGTCCTACTGCTGGGCCAGAAAAGTGCGTGGCAGGTCTTAAAGGGGAAGGACAGATCATTCTAAGTAGAAACACTTGCGGATTAGGTCTTCCCCCTCCCCCCTGATCTAAATCATGCCATCAGCAACCCATATGCCATATCTATATGCCAGTGTAGATGCACTATACCATTCCCAAACCTATTCGGGATTAACTCAGAAGTAATCAAGGGCGGTGGTGAAGGAAAACTGAGGAAAATGGTATTTTCCATTCCTGTTCTCCAAAGCCCTGCTGCTGCAGCTTCGTAGGCTCACAACAACAAGGCACAGTTTTCTGGGAGTGGATGATAATGGAACTGGAGAGGGAAGCTGGCCATTCTTTTGGGGCACACGCTTTACTGTCACTTGGAAAAGAGTGCAGGGGCATGAAGTGGCTACTTCCTCTTTGAAGATAAATATTTAAAGCCTGCAGATTGTAGCGTTCTGCATTTAGTGAAGTTCACTGTTACCTGCTTTTTCCAAACAGTCGATGAGAGATAAGTTGATTAAAAATCTATCTGTGGAACATGGAGTAACAGGGGTATATAAATATAAATTTTACCACATTTCAACATGTTGTAATTGAGGTAACTTTTATAAGATCAGTTTTGTGAGGTTGGGTGTAGTTGTGGGTTTCCCCAAAGAGATAATGCATGCATGCCAAATTACATTTTATTACCCAGTGGTTATTTTTAGAAGAAGTTAAATTTTGAGCTTATAATGGTGGGAGCCTTAGGAGGGAGTGACTCTGATCGAAGAAACACTCCTGCACCCTTTGCATTTCTCCAGCATCAAGTACCAGGAATTGAGATGATACAAGGAATGTCTTTTTGTCTCTTTTTTTAAAAGTCTAAATAATTTATGAAAGGGCTTCTGTGTAGTTTTGCACAAAACACTTGTCTTATTCTTGTACCTTTAAAGAGAATAATTGGTGTAGATTTTTTTTCAGATTTACATTTCAAATGTTTCTTTTGAACTAAGGCCACAAGTTCTTCAGTTCAAAGCAGTGACTGCAGAGATAAAATTAAATACCATTTTAAAAATAAAGTGTTTATTGAAAAAGCCAATATTGATGTGTGTATGTGTGTTCAGCAATCTGCGGAGCAGTCAACTAATCTGTGGAGCATAAGAATACAGCGATAAAGCTTTTCAAATATTCACATTCATCAAGTATATCATTATTTGCCATTGAAAGCTCAAAACTAAGGTGAGAAATAAACATTTTCATAATTGTGATGCAAGAGGCTGAAATATATTATCTCAGAAAACTGTATGTTAATGTGGTCTGGAAACCTGTTTAATAATTAGATAGGAACTTTTGGTGCCTACACACCACTCAGAGCAGTTATATAAAATTGATATAGTCTCTATAAAGTAATTGAAGAAGATAATGGAACTGAAAGTGACAGAAAGTGATATGAATATTAATTTTATGATTAGTTACTGACAGACCCTGCCCCAACCCACACACATTTTTTCAGTTTTAAATACCAGTAACACTTAACATTTTTTGCTGTGATCAATGAGTAAAGTAGAAAGGTTTTTAAAAGTCATTTTAACAAAAGTCTTTTAACAAGATTTATATACAATATGCTGCATTCTTAGAAGAATTGATTGTTAAATTTTTAATTAGAATACAATATACATCAATAGCCACCCTTGTCTTGCAAGGTATTCAGTGGCTTAAAACATTCTTTCTCATTTAAAACTATACATTTCATATTGTATGTGGAGTATTAGAAATGATGCACATGCATTCTGTTTCTATGCACAATATCCACCATTAGTTGAGAAAATGGTCAATCTAATTAGCTTCATGTGATAGCAAGACTTCCTATTAAATCATCACATTTTAGAATCGGTTTGGGTTCCCATTATCTCCTACAGTACTCTCACCCCCAAGGTAAAGGTTCCCTTTGACATTTAGTCCAGTCGCGTCCAACTCTAGGGCGCGATGCTCATCCCCGTCTCCAAGCCATAGAGCTGGTGTTTGTCCGTAGACAGTTTCCGTGGTCATGTGGCCTGCGCGACTAGTCACGGAATGCCGTTCCCTTCCCACCGAGTTGGTGCCTATTTATCTACTCCCATTTTTTCTTTTTTCTTTTTTTTAAAAAAAAATGCTTTCAAACTGCTAGGTTGACAGGAGCTGGGACAAGCAATGGGAGCTCACTCCGTCGCATGGATTCAATCTTACACTGCTGGTCTTCTGACCTTGCAGCACAGAGGCTTCTGTGGTTTAACCCGCAGTGCCACCACCAAACCAAAGTACAAAAGCATGCAAGTTTCATTAGGAGGTGTTTTTTTTCCTTTGGAGAGTGATGAGTCTGAAAAGGTAGATAGCTCCTTAAATGTGATTCCAGACTTAATTTTCTAGGCTCTCAATTCACATGAAGAGCCCAAACAGATGCCAGAGACTCTCCCTCTTCAGAGACATCGCCATGTGAAGGACAGTGATGGTGGAGGAATGCCTGAATAGGGCCATTTCAGAAACATTTCACAGTTGCAGCTTTATTCATATTGCACCAAACAGTAATTTTACTATACAAAGGGACAATTTAAACGAGTCAAATTTACTTAATTTATTGTACTTAGTAAAATAAGCAAATGACTAAAATTGTAACAATTGTAACTATAAGAAAATGTATTTGTGAAGGCTTTCACGGCCGGGATCTAATGGTTGTTGTGGGTTTTTCCGGCTCTTTGGCCATGTTCTGAAGGTTGTTCTTCCTAACGTTTCGCCAGTGCTGTCCTCTGAAGATGCCGGCCACAGAGACTGGCAAAACATTAGGAAGAACAACCTTCAGAACACGGCCAAAGAACCCGAACGATCCACAACAACTATAAGAGAATGGAACACGGTCCATTACGCATATTGCCGGAGGTGTTGCCTGTCCTCTCACACTTCGCTTTCTCAGAATAAAATTAAGCCAATTTGTAGCTAAACATGTTCATTCTTGATTATGACAATGGCAGAGGTTGAGCAGTTGGAAGGTAAACAGCCAGCCATCTTGCTTGGCTAGAGTAGACAGAAGGAACCCTAAATAATTGTTTGTTGTTCCTGCCGTAAATGTGATGGGATACGGAGGAGAACAAATTCCAGACCCAGATGAGTAATGCAGCAACAATGGGTGATGGACTATCCCTACCTTTGCCTATTCCTTTTTTTCTTTATGGTCCCACCCTAATGGCTAGTCTCTTACTGTGGATGCAAAGCTCTTGAGTCAGCCCTTGTACACTATTGTGCAGGTGGACCTCATCTGACACCAGAGGAATTTTCAATCCACCTTTGAAGACCATATTATCCATTTCTTCTTTCATGTATGCAATCATCTGCTCTGGTTCCCTGCATGGGCATTTTCCCTGTGCCCTGGGTTTGCATTTGTGACTTAAGGCATTTGTGGTGGTATACATCTGTGCTTTGATAATGGCTTGGTCTTCAGAAACACCACAAGGGCAATATTCTAAAAAACTTGGGTTGCTCTGTGGACATGGGATAATGAAATAGTCACATAACCTCCATGTGATCTGTTGGGAGTAGCAGCCTTGGGACCATATCCGCCTGTCTTTGTTACATCTTTGTCTCACTCTTTTGCCCAGACATTTGGAGTGGGTATCTGCTGGACCAATCTCATTGACTTTTGAAAACAATAATTATGGCGGTCACACTTGGCGCAGATTAGCACTTCAAATGTAATATAGGTGGAATAGAAGCATTCAAACAACTGTGATAACTAGAGCAGTTTGAAGTATTTCTTCTTTCTTTCTTTCTTTCTTTCTTTCTTTCTTTCTTTCTTTCTTTCTTTCTTTCTTTCTTTCTTTCTTTCTTTCTTTCTTTCTTTCTTTCTTTCTTTCTTTCTTTCTTTCTTGCGCATCCATGGGGATTCTTCCGGTAGCACCAAGAAGAAACAAGGTGGTAACAGCATCTCCTTCCAGGATGGTGCTGCAGCAAAAATCCCTGTGGTGCCAGAGGACAAGCAGACAATAAAGAAATGAGAATCTGCCAGAAGTACCCATATCTTAGAAACTTCTGAGCATGCTCTTCCTGTGTGGTTGTCAACCTATTTTTTGCTATTATGCCCATGGCTCATTGGACTTTTCTCCACATGGCCAATGTGAGCATAAACTCAATAAGATGTCTGGGAAATAAAATAAGATAAAATTAGTGATTAATAGGGCAGAGGCGACCTCTCCTTGATAGAGAATTTATTTGTAGCTTTTGCAGTGAATTGAGACATTTGATGGTTGTCAGAGGTATGGGTAGTGGTAGTTAGAATGGTGAATCCACCCACAGAACACATTGATTTTACAGACACTTTTTGGAGAGCATGTTCCACTAAATTCAGTGGTATTTATTTCCAAGTCAAAGGTTCTGTATCCCAGCTCAAGTAGTGATTGCACCTATTGCGTTTCCAAATGCTTGTTTATAAACAGAAATACTAGTGCATTTCAGAGTTCATTTTGTCTTGAAATATGTACAGATTGTTTGTGGCAGCAATAGCAATGATATTTTCTGTTGGATGCCATGCTGTGTGCAGGATCTTCTTAGTAAAGTCCAAGCTATCAACACTGATGTCATCTTTCCTTCTCTTGCCTCCAACACACACTCGCCGAGGTTTAAGAACTGCTCTTGGCTTGCTACTTTCTCTGGAGGCCTCTAAAGTAACATCACGTTTAGTATTCCGATCAAACATTCGAAAAAAGTTGTTATATGCCCCTGTCATAATAACACTGTGGAGAAGAGAAAAGAGAAAATGGATGTTAATGCTGCCAACCAAGACACTGAAAAATTCAGCTGCCTGCATCCCATCTAAAATACAGCACATTCTCCATTCTGCTCCCATTTATTTCAATGGGGCTTAACCAAGATAATTTAGTGATCCAGATGAACCTATGTACACAATTATATACATGAACAGGTATACAAAATAATTTTTGAGGCTCTGTAATACCTTTATTAGGTCACTAAAACATTGCAAATAAGGTTTCACATTCTTCAGAATTCCTCACCAGGTTATAAAACTTGAGGTTAGGGAAATGCCCGCCACCATGGGAGACCTCCCTGGGGGTCACTGCCGCCACGATCGGTGCCTTCGGAGGTCTCAAAGGGCTTTCCCTCTGACATCGGGGGGAAAGGCAAAAGGCAGAAGGCAAAAAGGCAGGGGGAAAGGGTGGGAAATTCAAATTTCCAGCCCTTTCCACCTGCCTTTTTTGCTTTGGAGGTCTCAAACGGCTTCCTCTGATGTCAGGGGGAAAGCCCTTTGAGACCTCCAAAGGCGCCGATCGCTCCGTTAGCAAAAATGGGCATCGACTTGCGAACGGATCCTCGACCTCGTTTGTAGGTCGGGGCTCCGTTCACAAGTCGATGCCAATTTTTTTGCGAATGGAGCCGTTCGTAAGTAGAAAAGTTCGTAGTTAGGGATGTTCGTAATTTGAGGTCCCACTGTAGCTGGAAAATTGGGCTGGAATGATAACCATGGCTCATGAAGCCAGAGTGCCAACAAAGCAAAATAGAGTTCAGTGTCCTCACGAGACAGAGGGAAAAAAGGGTATCATTTTACAGTCTCCACATATGTCTGACTTGCACACACACCCAGAGCTGCCAGTAGCAACTATCGCACATGCAAAGTGACATGCTGTTTAATTTTAGGTTGATAACACTCTTTCTTTAGCAGGCGTAGCTGGCTTGGTGGCTCCCATTAGCATTTTCATCTGTGGGAGCCCCATATCCTTCCAGGCACAGAGGAGAGTAAATTATTGCAGAATAAGAACTCAGCAATCTGACTAGCATCAAATGAGGAGGACAGGGAGGCAGACTTTTAAGATCAGCTTCAGTCTGCGCTATAGTGCAAGTTTAGGGTTTGGATTTTTCTGAAAATGCTAAGCCTAGTTGAGAAAGATTTTGTCAAAAAGATTTTTTTAAAGTGTTGATTATACTAGGTTTGGGAGGACATGGAAGTTTTTTTAAAAAATTGTTGATTATTTATGCATTTTCAGTCATATGCTGTTCTTCTTCCACATCCTCAGGTCTCAACAATTGAAACTTATCCATTATGTTTCGATGCTCAACACCTTGGCATGGATGTTCTTTGGTCATGGAAATTCTTTGGTCAAAAGTAGGGATGGCAAAAACCAGAAAAAATGATGAATCTGGGTGGTTTGTGGCTCCCCATGAACCAAGAACCACACCCAAACCCCGGAAAAACAAACCAATTTGCACTTTGTTTTTCCAGTTTGTGCCTGGGGGGGGGAGGAAAATTGAATGCCTCCACCACCTCTGCTGCCGAGCCACCCACCACCTTCCGACAGCCCCTCTCGCCTCCCTACCTGGTCCTGCCACTGCCTCCTCTTCCTCCTCCACTTTCACCATCTTCAGAGACAGTGGCCCAGCTCCCCTTCCAGGAGCTGGGGCTGCTGTCTCTGCACAGGGATATGCCTATCAGCTGATAGGTGTGCACATGCACAGCAGGAAAGGGCGGGGGGGGCATCCATTTTGCTGAAGCAAAATGAAGTGCCAAGTGGAAGAAAGTTCACCACTCCATTTTGTTTTGGCAAAATGGATTCCACAAAGCAAACCTTGTAGTTTGTAGTTCAGTTTGTGCCCATCTCTAGTTAAAAAGCTACTGAAATGATTGCCACCTGGTCCAAAATCCTTCAGTGCTTTAGTGTTACAAAGAATGGGTGACTTCAAAAGATTCAGTAATGTCAGATGAAGACTTAACTAGGTAATAAAAAGGGTGACATTTAACAGCAGAAGACAAAAATATTCTCTCTCCCACTTCCCCCTGTTGTCTTCAGAGAATGAGGTGCACTTTACTGGAATGAGGGTGTGACGTATTAATGAAAGAACTGAAAGAATGCTTAAATTCCTTCCATGGCAGCCTAGAAAATACTGAAGCTGTGGCTACTTTGGCAAGTATCCTGAAGGTAAGGTAAAGGTTCCCCTTGACATTTACTCCAGTCATGCCTGACTCTAGGGGGTGGTGCACATCCCTGTTTCCAAGCCATAGAGCCAGCAAATTTTCAAAGACAGCTTCTGTGGTCACGTGGACAGCGTGACTAGACACAGAACGCCATTACCTTCCCACTGTGGTGGTACCTATTTAACTACTTGCATTTTTACATGCTTTCAAACTGCTAGGTTACTTTTGGGGTTTTTTATACTGTTTTGGGTAGCTTCTGCAGGGTGGGATTGGGCTGGTGGGGTTATGTTTATGTATAATTTATTTTGTTTTTTGCAGTCCCTGGGGCTTGCATTGTTATATCTATCTATCTATCTATCTATCTCTGACCTACAAACTTACGTACAGGTCTGGCTGCAAAATTTTGCTTTGACTTGCTGCCGGAGCTTTGACCTATGATCAAATAAAAAAAAAGCAGGGGAAAGGGGCGGGAAATTCAAAAAAACCCTAACCGTTGGTGGCATATAGGTTGCTTCTTTGTAGCTCTTTTGCCCCAACGGTTCACCCTAACCAGTGGTGGCATATAGGTTGCTTCTTTGTAGCTCTTTCGCCCCAACGGTTCAGGAAAGGGATGTGGCGGCACCAGCGGGGGTCCAGCGGGGAGGTGAGGACACATCCCAGCTGGTCTCTTATTCCTGGTGTTGGGTCCGTCCGCGCTGCTCACTTCCCAGCCGGGCTCTACCTCCAGGAGTCTGGGCGGGAAGCAAGCAGCAATGCTGCCTGGAGGAAAGGCTGGGACTCCAGAGGAGTAGGAGGTGGCCGGCAGGTGGGTGAGCGCTTCCTGGCTGGGCGAGCACTGCTGCCCGGAGGGAAGGCTGGGGCTCTGGAGGAGCAGGAGGTGGCCGGTGGGCTAGCGCTTCCCGGCTGGGCAAGCGCTGCTGGAGCAGGAGGCGGCGTGCAATGGAAGCCTCCTGGCAGCAGCAGTGGAAGTGCGGGAGGCCCTCCAGGAGCCAGATCCCAGCCAGGAGGCCAGGACCCATCCTGGCCGGGCAGCGGTGGAAGCCAGGGGGGGGGCTCCCGGAGGGCTCAATTTCAGCACCAGTGGGCCTACACAGCGGCACAGAAAGGCCAGGTGGGCTCCCAGAGGCGGTTTTGGTGGCGGTGGAGCCCAGGTGGCTAAGCATGGCCGAGAGGCTTCAGAGGAGCCTTCGTGGTGAGGTAAGGTGCTACATTTTAAGGCGGATTTCAAGTCATTCCCCTTGAAAGGCAACCCCAAATCCCTGCTAGCAAGAGGGGATATAAAGCATGAGCTATCCTTCGGCTCAGCGGTGGAGAGCTGGCATAGGTCTGTCCTTGATATATATGTCAGTGAGCAGCTGAGAGAAGGTAAAGATCAAACAGGTCTATGTGAAGTACCCCAGGGCACTTCCACTTAGTCCAAGAGAAGCTTAGATTTGCTGTAATTTGTGGTTAGACCATTGCTGTTTATCATTAAGTGATTGGTGTTAAAAAAAAACTGAGCAAAAGCTTGCATGCCTTAATCCATTTTATTCCTTCTGAAATGTATGCTGGGGTGGGGGGATTGAAACTCCAAATTCTCTGACTAGAGGTTAAAAATATTCATTGAAAACAGTTACTTTTAAGGTAACAAGTAATGTGACAATTACAATGGTAGTTTTCAGTTGTAACAAGTAACCTGCTTTCAAGCACTTTAAAATTACATTTTAAGGCGGATTTCAAGTCATTCCGAAAGGAATTTTTCAAGCGTTTACACACAACAGTTCAAGCATGAATATAAAAACCACACAGATGATGAATAATATTCTCCCTTGGTACATATATGTGGGTGCCAGCAGTTGAAAGAATAATCATTAGTCATAATAAACCTAAGAACGTTTATTGTATAACATGTTGAAGAGTAAACTAACATTTGACTTGGTATAAATTTGGATTCTGCATGACTGACTTACAACAGTTCCAACATCTTCTTTTACTACCATAGTAACAGCAGACACCTAGCAGCAGACAGTTCTAAGTCTAATTGAAAACTGAACCGAAATCAACAGAAAAGCCTCATTTTAACAGACAAGCCGCATTCTATATACTGTGTATACATGCTGAGTTGCAAAATTATATATTCTAACAATTTTGACCAGATTTTTTTCAGGTTTTATGCTATTCTCTTATCGTCTAATTGAAAACCGAACCGAAATCAACAGAAAAGCCTCATTTTAACAGACAAGCCTCATTTTATATACTGTGTATACATGCTGAGTTGCAAAATTATATATTCTAACAATTTTGACCAGATTTTTTTCAGGTTTTATGCTATTCTCTTATCAATCCTAAGTGGAAAAAAAGTATTTGTATATTTATTAATATTTCTAAGGTACAACATCAGAATTGGCCCCTAGAGGGAACCAGAGAGCATTTTTCTGAATTTTCCTGATCTCTGGGTAACAGAAATATATTATGTTAATAACGTTCAATACCACAAATTACTGGAGTAAATGAGTCATTGATTATCAAAACAACAATAGCCATAAGGCTTTGTTTCTGATTTCTCTCTCTCTCTCTCTCTGCAACATAAAGCAATGAATAACATAATGAGTTCCCTTTACAGTGTTATTTTCTGAGCTCTATTACAAATCTGCCAACTTTTTCTTAGAACAGTATTTTAATTAGGGGTGTGTGCAACAAGGAATGAAATAATTCCATTCAGCAGTGGTAGTATGGCCTCTGAACATTTTAAACACTTATGCTTATTCTTTTCTCATTGATTTATTTAAAAGTACAGTAGTTGGAATTCCTGCTACAGGCAGTGCAGTTATGTGATCATATTTTCCTGTTTCTGATTTCTCTCTCTCTCTCTCTCTCTCTCATTCTGTATTTCAACTTGAAGAATGGCATGTGATTCTTCATATGTAAGCACAAATGATTGTGCACAGTCAGAACAATGCTCCCAATATTATGGCATGAGTGGCTTTATGTGAGCTGCTCTGTTTCTACCCCCCCATTATAGTGTTTTGTTTTGTTTTCAATAAAAACTAAAGACAGCATGTTGAACACTCTTTCTACATTTTGATTCAAATGTAAATTTAGATTTTAAAATATATTTATGATGTTTACATTAATTAACCACAGAAGGAAAATTGCCAATATTAATTTGGAAGACATCCCTTAATTTTCACAAGAGTAATTTCTAAGTGGAACATGAACTGTTGATTATTATACAACTGAGTATGGCTCAGCTAAATTGAAAGTGACTATTAAACAGCGTATGTTACCTATCAGATCCATTCCATGCACATTCAAACTTGTCAAAGATGCAGTCATTTTCATAAAGGGAACACAGCTTGCTTCTAAGGTAGTCATGAACCTGTTGGATATGCAAAAGACAGCTTTGTTACTCCAAGATTAGATGTTTATTCTCATTTGACAGTATGGGTTATCAATTACAGCTCTTTCTGGAGATAGTTTGTTCCAGTTTACCATGTTACTTGTAAACAAGCTTCTACTGATGATTAACAATAACTATCTTCCAAAAAGTAAGTCTCTTGATGGATCATGTTACAGATGTAAATTCACTTCTCAGCATATTTTGTTCCAATAATCAGGAACAAAATACAACTTCATTCAATACTGGGTTTCTAAGGGCAGAAATATACATAAAGATTCATGATAAGAGCTACAATAAGGTTAGTGGTGGAGAGATGTGATTCAAGCATTGAGCAGTGTTCAGTTAATAAATAAAACTGCAAATAATCCTGTACTTACGTTCCCAAGACCAATCACAAACCAAAGCAAGGTAACTTACAATATTAAAGAAATATTAAAAACTTTTTAAATATCCACTTTAAGCAATATTTGGCACACTTTCCCCCAATTATGCAATTTCATATTATTAAGGAAAATAAAATCATAAATTTCTTGTTTAGCAATCAGGAATATTCTTCTGATACCCAAAATTTTGCATGTAGTAATTTGCCTGTGGTTTATACAACATCCTCTGGCTGTACAATTTCTACTACTTCCTCAGAATTATGTAGCTGGAAGATCCCTCAGAATAAAGTTTAATTTTTCTTGCTATACTTGGCAACATGATCACTGCAGATGGTGACAGCAGCCATGAAATTAAAAGATGCCTGCTTCTTGGGAGGAAAGCAATGACAAACCTAGACAACATCTTAAAATGCAGAGACATCACCTTGTCAACAAAGCTCTGCATAGTCAAAGCTATGGTTTTTCCAGTAGTGATGTATGAAAGTGAGAGCCGGACCATAAAGAAGGCTGATCACTGAAGAATTGATGCTTTTGAATTGTGATGCTGGAGGAGACTCTTGAGAGCCCCCTGGACTGCAAAGAGAACAAACCTATCCATTATAAAGGAAATCAACCCTGAGTGCTCACTGGAAGGACAGATCCTGAAGCTGAGACTCCAATACTTTGGCCATCTCATGAGAAGAGAATACACCCTGGAAAAGACCCCGATCCTGGGAAAGTGTGAAGGCAAGAGGAGAAGGGGATGACAGAGGACGAGATGGTTGGACAGTGTCATTGAAGCAACCAACATGAATTTGACCAAACTCCAGGAGGCAGTGGAAGACAGGAGGTCCTGGCATGCTCTGGTCCATGGGGTCACGAAAAGTTGGACACGACTTAACAACTAAACAAGAACAACAATACTTGGCAAAAAAATCTGTAATCTACAAAATCTTTTGATTCACACAGATTTTGCTCAAATGCAAAGAGTTTATAACAACATTTTACAAGACAAACTCTCTTGTTTTTATAGTTAGTCAGGGGCTGGACTCCATCTACAGCAAATTCATTTTTGTTACAAATGGTACCTTTTCCCACTATTGTTACTCTATTTGCTGTTTGCCCTCAAATCTTTCTATGGACTCTCAATCCATTCAAAATGCAGCAATTTTAAAATCCATTAACAGAAGTATTGATCTCACACTTAATTATCTGCCCTCTAAATTGAACAGATGTAAATACTTTGCTTGCTTCGTGGTGTAGCTAAGTTTGAATGCATTGCTAGTGACTGCCGGAGAAAAATATCTGCAGTTTCCGAGAATACAATAGGAATGCTTGAAACAAAAAGAGATGATTTTTGAAGATCCACCCATGTTTTCTCAGTCCCTCCCCTCACAAAGTGATCATGGGAATTGTAGCTTTTCCTTCAGCAGGCGCATAGAGAGCTCCCTTATCCCAGGTCAGACTATTCGTCCAATATTGCTAATTTTGACCAGCAACAATTCTCTTTCAAAGGTCTTTCATATCACCTGCTTATCAAAATTAAACTTTTAGTTTTGTTCTTGTTTTGAGAGTTGGTCTTTTTTATTTTGATATTTCAGTGGATGCAGACTTCTCCAGATTGCCCTATTTGGGATCAACTAACATTTTTCAGGATATTTGCAAAGGCAATTCAGAATAACACTGAACACTGGTAAAACTGGCCATCAACGTCTGGCAACCAATATGCTGATAAATAATAACTATAGTACACACATCTATACACTGAATTGCGCATCGATACCACTATCCGAAGAAAATAGTTAAACTGTGCAAGGAAAGGATGGGTTAACTGCATAGAGGTGCAAGAATCTAGCAATTATGCTCAGTTTCTCAAAGGGACACTCCTCCCTTTTCTGTTTCTGCTTTCCTCACACAGCATACCAAATTTAAACTATATTTTCTAAAGTGGTACTAGTGGCAATTGCAGAATCTTAATGTAATGGAAACAATGCCCACATATGCTTTTAATAAATCCACATAATATAATTTTTAAAAATAGCACTCTTGTGGACGGTCCCACAATTACTTACACCTGTCTTGTCCCAATAATGCTAACAGCATATGCAGTATTTTATTAAACTATAAAGAGTTTTCAGAATTATATTTGTAAAGTATTTGCATAGAAAGAAGAGATGAATAGATAATACCTGGTATATTTCTACAGGCCTTGTTTCCATGTTCAAATCCCAAACTTTAACAGTGAGGTAATCCCTAGCTAACATATATCGGCCACTGTGGCTGAATTTGACATCTGACACAGAAGAAATGATTTCAGAGAAAAATGAGCGGCTACTCGGGTCTTCTGGTTCTTCAAAAACTGGTAAGGTCAAAGAAAGAAAGAGAGATGACAATTAAGAAATGCTTAAAAATATTTCTACACAGTTACCCCTCATAGTTCTGTTATTCATGCTGGTATTTTCTTATTTTTTAAATTTTTTTATTATTTTCCAAAACAAATACATCAATACAAAACAATACAAAACACTGATTAACAATCTAAAACCCAGTGCACCCCCATGCCCACGGGACCCTTTGGAGCAATTCTTTTATTACAAACCTCTTTTCCAAAATTGTATTGATTGTTGCTTAGAGGCTTTCCCCTTTCCTTTCACTAATACAAATTCAATAAATCTATCTCAAATAGCATTAAAAATATTCAAACTTATTTTCCCTCTTTTCATCTTTAGTTCAGTAGTCAATTTGTCATTTAACGCAATGTCCCATACTTCGTTATATACCAATCTTCTAATTTGATACCATGTTTGTCTTTCCACTATCTAACTATTAATAATCTAGCACTAATAAAATTAGAAATCAATTCCTCTGAGTAATAATCAAGTTCTATCTTATCAAAAATTGACAGCAAAGCAATTTTTGAGTTAAATTCAACATCTTTCCCAAATATATCACATATTTCCTTAAAAATCAATTTCCAAAATTTCTGAATCAATTTACACTCCCACCACATATGATAATCCGTGCTAATTTCTCCATCACATTTCCAACAGGCCTTAGAATAGTCTGAATTTATTATGTTCAATTTCACCGGAGTCATGTACCACCTTAAACAAATTTTTTAAAATGCTCCTTTATTCTTACTGACATTAATCTTAGAACTCTCATCTTCCAAATTTTTATCCAATCCTCTGTTCTAATTACTGTCTTTAAATCATGTTCCCAAATTGATTTTAATCCTTCTATTTCAATCTCATTTTCCTCCTGATCCAAAATTAGGTTATAAATTTTACTTACTACTCCCTTCTTCAAAGCATCCTTCTGTGATTATAGAAATTGTTCATACTTAGTACATCCACTACATTTACAATTAATCCTCAACCATTCATTAGTCCATCTGTCTAATTGGATATAATTGTACCATGATAATTTATTAGTTTGAAGTTTAGCTATAATCTGATCCTTCGAACTCATTTTAACCATCCAATCCTTCAATATGGCAACTTTATTATCCTTAAACAAATGAACAAAGCCCTTCAGATTTGCTAAGAAATTTTCTATTTCAGTTACTAATTTTAATGGTGAAGTAAAAGGACAAAACTTCTTTTTATATCTCTTCCACACATTTAACATGTTTCTTAAAAAGGGGTTATTCGCCTGATTTATTATATTTCTTTTTACTGCATTGAACAAGTATTTTTCAATATTTCCATGTATTTCTGAGGATTCTATATCCCACCAAATTAATCTTCCTTCATTATATATATCTTCAATAAATCTTAGTTACAATTAATTATAAATAAATTTTTATATTGGGAATACCTAAACCTCCACTTTTTTGAGTCTTATACTAATATCTTTTATTTAGTCTTGATTGTTTACCTTTATTACAAAATCCATTAATTAATCCCTGCCAATACTTAAAATCATCTTCTTCTAATTGTATTGGGAGCATCCTAAATAGAAAAGTTATTCTTGGTAATATTTTTATTTTAACTATAGTGATTCTCCCAAATCACGAAAGATTCAATTTAGAGTGCTCCTGGAATTTATCTCTAATATTGCTTTTTAATTTATTAAAATTTTGCTCCTTTAATTTTTGAGTCACTTTGACTATATTTATACCTAAGTACTTAATATAACTACACATTTTAAAACCATATCTACAAGCTTTTCTTGTTCACATTTGTTGTGATTAAATATCATTACTTGTGTTTTTTGCCAATTAATAGTTAATCCTGTTATTTCCCCAAATTTTTCTAAATGATTTTTTATTCTATCCATACTTTCTAATGGGTTTTTAATAGTTAATAATGAGTAATCAGCAAATAAATTAATATTAATTGTATCATTTTTGCCTAATCCTTTAATTAATTAATTATTTCTTATTGCATTAGCTAACAATTCTATAATCATACAAAACAATACTGGTGAAATGGGCAGCCTTGTCTTGTACCTTGGCCTGGAAAAATCCATTCTGTTAAACCCTCATGAACTATTATTTCTGAAGTATTATCTAAATATAACTGATCTATAACCCCAATAAATCTTCTACCAAATCCACAAAACTTTTAAAGCAGCTTTAATGTTAGCCATTCCACACAAAGGCCTTAAATACTGTATGTCTAATGATAGAACACCCGCCTTTGTTTTCCCCTTTTCTACCTCATATATAATATTCAAAACTAGCCTAGTTAAATTATCCATTTGCTTCCCTTTATAAAGCCACATTGATCCTCTTTAATATAATGTGCTATAAATCTATTTGCTAATACAGCAGTAAAAATTTTTGCATCTTGATTTATTAAAGATATAGGTCTATAAGATCCCAAGTCTGTTAAATCCTTGTTGGGTTTTGGAATAAGAATCGTTAATGAGTGTGTCCAAGAAGGTGGCATTGTTTCCCCCTCCAAAATTTTATTATAAAGGATTTTTAGCTTAAGTGTCAAAATGGAACTAAAAATTTTATAATATTCTGGACCCAATCCGTCATAGCCTGGTGTTTTACTATTTCTTAATTTATTAATGACCTCATCAATTTCTTCTTCTTTAATCTCTTCTTCTAATATTCTTTTATCACATAATTTGGTTTTTAAGTTCTCATTTATATAATTTTCTATATCCTCTTTGAACACATTGTTTCCTTTAGATAATTTCTGATAAAATTCTTGAAAAATCTGCAATTTATCTTTCATTATATTAGACTTCTTCCCCGTTCTATCATTAATTACCCCTATTGTATTTTTTAATCTTCTGTTTTTGCACATTCTAGCTAATAATTTTGAATTTTTATTGCTATATTCAAAAAAATTTTTCCTAATTTTCTAACTAATAAGCTGACATTTTTCATCTGTGCATTTTGAAATCTGTAATACTTTTATTGAATCTGATATCAACCCTGAATTTTGAGGAAAGCTGACAGGGCCAGTTTTCACATGAACAAAGTTGATCACTCAGTCTAGAGGCGTCAGAAGAGGAGGGACAGTGAATCACACAGATACTAATACAGAAGGGCTGCACATTTACACTTCCACTGTTGGAACCATGATAGGACAATGGTTCATGTCAAATGCCCCTCAGACTGAAAAAAGCCAGCAGTGGCCCAAACTACTCAATGTCTTCCTCAGATGACAGCTCAAAATAGTGCATCAGGTGGGCTGCTGCTTCACAAAAACTCCTCTTCAGCAAGGCAGCTCATGCAGGTCTCACTGAAAAGCCTTTGGAAGGCCCCATAGCTCTCTCACTGAATGCCTCACTCTGCAAACACCTCAGAGTAAGTTAGTGGGCAACCAGTCATATGGGGAGATGCTGTGGAGACCCTGTTGTAACACTAAATAATTCAGTTTGTCCCTCTGGTGAGCATGTCCTGCTCAGATGCTTAGAAAGTATGCTTCTCATACTGCAGCACTGTGTGGCAACTATTTGCGATGCCACAGCACAAGCAGTCCTGAACAGACAATGCTTTATTCCATGAAGGAAAAGGCTGCTGAGACCAAGGTGAGGAGAAGGAGCAAGGCCGCAAAAGCAAAATGACATGGCTTACGTCCCATTTTATCCTCACAACAATTCTGTGAGATAGGTTATACATATGAGCAACTCTCTGAAAGTTAAGCAGCAGGGTTCGTGGCTGAATTAAGAGAACTTATTCTTTGTTATTATCAAGAAAACAGTTCAAAATTATTAATAACCAATCACTATGGAAACTACTGAATATTCAAATTTTTTTATTCACATTTTTTTTATTCACATTTTTTTTACTCATATCTAGCCAACTTTTCATTATGGATTCATTCATTTGACATAACATCAGGGTGTAGCTTCTTTAGTTGAAACATAATCTCCCACACAAATGCAGGAGTAGGTGATATCTTTATAGACTAATAAAGAAATCATACAATCGGCTAGCTTTTGCGGATCAGGGTGCCCACTTCATCAAGCTTGCATTGGTGTCTTGTTGGAAAAGACTTAAGAGTCCCAAAATTTTGTGGCAGATGGACTTTGCCAGGTGTCTTCCTTAAATGTGAGGAAAGATGCAGGCTGCACTGGCGTTGTGGCTTTAAATTTACAGCTAAGGAAGCTGTCGATTGCATATCACAGCCCAGTTCTTCAAAGAAGCACAGGCATTATGCATACACTTTCCCATTTGGCCTTCCTTTGAAACTCCATATTTCTATTTGGCAAGGAAACTTTAAAGCCACAATGCCAATACAGCCTGCATCTTTCCTAATTACACCAGGAATCTGGCAACTTATGGCTAAATCTCCTTATGATATTTTCGTCAAAATGGGCAACATTATTGATTATTATTATTTCATTTGGAAGCTCTGATGTATGGGCAGGCCATCTGTTTAGTGAATCACTGACAATACCAGGTCATGTATCTTTCCCCACCCTTCCATTACAAATTACTTACATTTCATCTGCTGTGCATCTTATATATACTATATATATAAAAACAGGTTGCCTTTGGGCCTCATCTTCTTCCAGACATCACTAATGTAGAAATATCTTTGTTAGCAATTTGTACTTGTAGTGCATACAAAGCCAGGAAAAAAAACCCTCTATATACAAACCAGCAACATCCAGGAGATAGAACATTTGTGTGATTCAGTAACTTACGCTTGAAATGTTTGTCACAGAGAGCTGATGCCCTCATGTCACATAGCCTCAAAGATCCTTTGCTGCTGCTGTAGACAAAGAGATTGCAGTGATGAGGATGGAATTCAGATGCAGTAATAACCTCTGTCAAGTCCTCCATATTGGCTGGCTTTATATCTACAATGTCTGTGTGGGAGTATTTATTAAGGAACATTTCTACAAGGATGTTACAACTGAAAATGCTTATTAGAAAACCCAAAAGGGAGAATTACAGTGGTTTCATGCCCATTTCATGTGTAAAATAGATTCCAATGCTACTTTTTATTTCACCCGGAGATCTCTGTTCATTAATATATGCTCACACACTCCTTTTTTAAATGTGGCTCCAGGAAATAAATACTGTACAGTCAAAGTCTTACTGAACTCTAACAAGACACTTGATGAAGTGCAAGGAATATAACCAGTTATTAAATACCAGGCTTGGGGCAAAAGCCAAAGAGAGTCTTGCCAGCACTAAAGCTGAAAAGCCTCTGAGGCCATAGTGAACTCACTGCTTTCTATTCCCTCTTCTTTCTGGTTGCTGTTCAGCATCTATTTCTATACTCCACATTCTCTAACAGCAAATAGAAAAGGTATCCCTGTGACCCATCCACAAAGTTCTGAAGTTTGTTTCTAGGTTTCTGTGTGCATCTTTACTTTTATCCTTGGCTTGCCAAGTACCTATGATATGCTCCAGTCTTGCATACAAATGTTGTCTCTCCCCTTCTCATTCTAGTCTTCTGCTGTTTCCTAACTAAGAAAGCAGATTATCTTAAATATGTACAATCACCCACCTTTTAAACCCAAAGCTACATTTAATTATCCTTCTCACTCCTCACAGTCATTCATCAATACCTCATTCCTCTCTCTCAAAGTTGCTGTAATGTCATTAATTTCTCAAATCCTGATAATTCCAAGGATTTATCAAACCTGTCCCCCTTACACACGCATACTCAGAAACACCTATAGTATTTCAACACCCATTTTGCATCCAATACTTCCCCCATTTATTACCTAGTAACAAATGTGGGCAACTTATGTACTGCACACTCCCCTTGGCTGCTTTTTGTGCAGTCAAAAGAACCGCAGAATGCTTTCATTGCTTGTTCATTAGTTGCATGATAGGCAACAAGCCACTGTCCACCATTTTCTGTTAGCAACAGTGGAATGGCAGTTTCGAAAAAGAGGTTAAACTTTCCTGCACTCAGGCATGGTTGGCCCTAGGATAAATAATGTCCTGGGCAAAGATTGCTGCCACCATGACATCAATTTAGAGTTTTCTTGTTTAAATAATATTTATAATGGTTGTTGTGGGTTTTTCGGGCTCTTTGGCCGTGTTCTGAAGGTTGTTCTTCCTAACGTTTCACCAGTCTCTGTGACTGGCATCTTCAGAGGACAGCACTCTGTGCTCTGGTGTAGTTGGCTTGGGAGTGCAGTATTTATGACTGTGAGATAGGCTTTTGTCTTTTTCTGTAGATTGGTGATTAGTGTGTATTGTTGTGGGTGTATTGTTGTGCTAAGGAGAAGAGATTATCTGTCACTGTGGTTGATGGGTGTCATTAGCTGGTCTTTTGTGTGTAGCGATCCCCTGTCCTTGTGGCTGGGTAGAGTTGGTTGACCTTTTGCACGGAGTATTTTTGAAAGCTGGGAGCCAAGTTTTGTTGAGCTGTATTCAAGCCCACCACAAAAATACAACAAATGTTACGGTCAGCAAAGGACAGAAGGAACCCCCTCACCACTGCAGGAGTACACCGGATACCTTGCAGTTGTGGCCAGGTATATATTGGAACCACAAGACAAAGCATCCACACCAGAATCAAAGAACATGAGAGACACTGCAGACTAAAACAACCAGAAAAATCTGCAGTAGCTGAACATGCCCTAAAACAAACTGGACATGAAATTCTATTTCAAAATACTGAAATACTGGACAACACCAGCAATCATTACGTCAGACCGCACAGGTAACGCCTTTGAAATCCACAAGCACCAGCAGAACTTCAACAAAAAAGAAGAAAGTGTGAAGCTCAACAAAACTTGGCTCCCAGCTCTCAAAAATACAGCGTGCAAAAGGTCAACAAACTCTACCCAGCCACAAGGACAGCGGATCACTACAAACAAAAGACCAGCTAATGACACCCATCAACCACAGTGACAGACCTCGAACTCTTAATCAAAGTGTGGTATTATCTAGAAAAAAGTGGTGAGAAATAGTTTGATAACAAAAAGCTTTTGATATTACAGGCTTCACGAAAAGACAAGACTCACTGGAAAACACACACAATAATGCTACAAAAAATAGATGACAGGAGGAAAAGAGGAAGACTGATCATGAGGTGGATTGACTCAGTAAAGAAAGCCATGGCCTTTAGTATACATTCTACAGGCTCCCTAAATACATTTCAGAGAGAACTGTCATAGGTTTGAAGTGACTGGACAATAATAGATTTCAAGACAGCTGCTTAAACATGCAGTCCAAATGCATAATCTGAAAACATACAATTCAGCAAAAGTTTCAACACATGCCAATTCTGGTTTTAGTGTTCAGCATATAATTATTGTTTCTTCATACAGAATTCTCCACTTTTTACTGAACTGCTTTGTGACTTTTACTTTTGTAGTGGATTGTGTCCATGAACAAGCATTCGGTTTAAGTTAATATCAAAGTTCTGCCTTTTGTGTTTCATTTGTGATGGCCGACTAAAGTGATGACTAAGTATGTGTAAACCAACCGAAGACCTGCAAATGATAGTCCTGCCATGTTAGCCTGCTAAATTTTGATCTCAGCATTTTTGAAAGTAGTTCACCAAATAAAAGTTGACATAATATGGATCAGCTAAAAAATGCTACACATTTATAACAAGATTTCAGATGTAAAGTTGTCCTGGCTTGTGAAACATGTGGTTATAGACACACACACACACACACACACACACAGAGAGAGAGAGAGAGAGAGAGAGAGAGAGAGAGATCACAGCATAGCATGTGGAAGTGTGAGTGGAGTGAAGCATAAGGTTGTTCAAAGATAAGGATATTTAGTGCAGGTGTCTATAAATATTCAAGGTGGCACAAAAAAGAAAAACTGAAACTGGAAATACGTACTGAAATACCACAGTTCCTGGCCCATATAAGCAAACATTTGAAAGGATACTGAAACTTCGATCTGTGATTGCTAAATGCCAGAGGTTAATCCTGAGATCATCGGCAGACATGTATGTTTCACAATCACTGTTGACAGAAATTGAGTTGACATGATAAGTGTGGCCATTGGCAAAAATTTTTCTGGGAGTGACTTCCACCATCAAATCTGTTGGTTTCAATACTGGTACCTACGTAAATGAATAAAAGTATATATTCACATATATTGAATACATAATTTCATATTGGAAAATTTGAACATTGCAAACCAGAGATTAGAAGTACTTCATTACATGTAAAATAGTTACCTATAACTAGTTAGTTTAGGGTAATGAGTAATATAACAAGTTGTTACAATGTTACAGTAAAAGTAATATAGCTAGTTACCAATTACCCTTCAGATGCAATATTTTCTAATTACAGTAGTTTCAAAAGTTCTTTTAAAGGAGCATTTAAAGGCATTTTAGAGGCATTTTGCCATCCTCTTATCAACTGAAATTGGCTTTTTATGTTTTTATAGAGATTGCAATATCAGAATTGCTCCTAACAAAAACCAGATAGTATTTCTCTATATTCTTCCAGCTTGCTGGTAACAATGTTGCAGTGTGTTAATAAATCATAACACAATGAATCACTTGCATAACAGCAACTGTTTGCTGACAAGTAAGGAGTAATGCAATTAGTTATTTTGGAAAGTTGTATCTGGACAAACCACAAAACTTCTGGAACAATGTCCTTTGGATAGATGAAACCAAAGTGGAGATTTTTGGCCATAATGCACAGCGCCATTTTTGGTGAAAACCAAGCACAGCATATCAGCACAAACACCTCATACCAGCTGTCAAGCATGGTGGTGGAAGAGTGATGATTTGGGCTTGTTTTGCAGCCACAGGACCTGGACGTCATGCAGTCATTGAGTCAACCATGAACTCCTCTGTATACTAAAGTATTCTAGAGTCAAATGTGAGGTCATCTGTCCAGCAGCTAAAGCTTGGCTGAAACTAAGTCATGCAACAGGACAATGATCCCAAGCACACCAACAAATCTACAACAGAATGGCTGAAAGAGGAATTAATCAGGATGTTGCAATGGTGCTGTCCAAGTCCAGACCTAAACCCGATTGAAATGCTATGGCGGGACCTTCAGAGAGCTGTGCATAAAACTTAATGAACTGAAGCAACGCTGTAAAGAAGAGTGGGCCAAAATTCCTCCACAATTATGTGGGAAACTGATACAGTACATTCATACATAAAAGTTATTGCTACTAAAGGCGGTGCTACGGTCTACTGAATCATAAGGTGTACTTAGCTTTTCACACATGACTTCTCCATTGTGACTTTATTTTTGTAAAATAAATCATGACACCCATAACATGTCATGTGTTGTTGTTCATCTGAGGTTGTATTTACCTAATTTTCACACCTACTAAGGACCAGATAATTTCTATTATGTCCTTATATGTAAAACCATAGAATTCAAAGAGGGTGTATTTTCTTCTTCACATGACTGTATACATCTTGGAATGAGAAGTATAAAATTGGAGCAATCCTGGGGAGAAAAATGGGGGTACCCTTGGGAGTACAATGCATCATGGGGGCAGACCCTTAAAATCTATTTTCCAACTAAACTGAAGCAATTGATCTCCCCTACGTGGTGAACTCAGTAAACAATGTAAGATGGTGTACACTGGGGTGGGTGTACACCAGCATGTCCAACAAGTAAGCTTAAACTCACTTGAAGAGAAAGGACTGCATCCAGTGACCACATTGTGCCACTGCAAGATCCATTGCAATGGCATTTTCACATTTACAGAGTTAGTAGAGGGTTGTATCTATCCAACAAAGTTTTTTGCACGCAGGTATGCTTGTATACCCCTTCACGGATTATTGCCTGATCATGGTGGAGGGGCTTGAGTAATTCAGAGAAGCTATGGGCTATGCCATGCAGGGACACCCAAGACGGACAGGTCATAGTGGAGAATTCTGACCAAACACAATCCACCTGGAGCACGAACTGGCAAACCACTCCAGTATCTGTGCCAAGAAAACTTCATGGACAGAAACAAAAGGCTAAAAGATACAACGCTGGAAAATGAGCCCCTCAGGTTGAAAGGTGTCCAACATGCTACTGAGAAAGAGTGCAGGACAACTACAAGTAGCTCCAGTGCTAATGAAGTGGTTGGTCCAAAGCTGAAAGGACGCTCAGTTGCGGACGCGTCTGAAAGTGAAAGGAAAGTCTGATGCCACAAAGAAAAATACTGCATAGGAACCTGGAATGTAAGATCTATGAACCTTGGTAAGTTGGATTTGGTCAAACAGGAGATGGTAAGAATATACATTGACCTCCTGGGCGTCAGTGAACTAAAATGGACTGGAATGGGTGGATTCAATTCATACGATTATCATGTCTACTATTATGGGCAAGAAGCCTGTAGAAGGAATGGAGTAGCCCTCATAGTCAACAAACGAGTGGGGAAAGCTGTACTGGGATACAATATCAAAAATGATAGAATGATTTCAATACGAATCCAAGGCAGACCTTTCAATATCACAGTAATCCAAGTTTATGCACCAACCACCAATGAGGAAGAGGCTGAAATTGACCAATTCTATGAAGACTTACAGCACCTTCTAGAACTGACACCGAAGAAAGATGTTCTTCTCATTATAGGGGATTGGAATGCTAAAGTAGGGAGTCAAGAGTTAAAAGGAACAACAGGTAAGTTTGGCCTTGGAGTTCAAAACGAAGCAGGGCAATGGCTAATAGAGTTTTGTCAAGAGAACAAGCTGGTCATCAGAAAAACTCTTTTCCAAAAACATAACAGGCGACTCAACACATGGACAGAGAAGCTGTATACAGTCAGCAAAAACAAGTCCTGGATCTGATTGTGGCTTTGATCATCAGCTTCTTATAACAAAACTCAACTGAAGAAAGGAGGCAAACCACTGGGCTAGTCAGGTATAATCTAAACCAAATCCATTATGAATACATAGTGGAAGTGAAGAACAGATTTAAGGAACTACATTTGGTGGACAGAGTGCCTGAAAAACTACGGATGGAGGTTTGCAACATTGTACAGGAAGCAGCAACAAAAACAATCCCAAAGAAAAGGAAGTGAAAGAAAGCAAAGCGGCTGTCCAACAAGGCCTTACAAATAGCAGAGAAGAGAAGGGAAACAAAATGCAAGGGAGATAGGGAAGGTTACAGAAAACGGAATGCAGACCTCCAAAGAATACCAAGGAATGACAAGAGTGCCTTCTTCAATGAACAGTACAAAGAAATAGTGGAAAAGAATAGAAAGGAAAAAACCAGAGATCTCGTCAAGAAATTGGAGACATTAAACTAAGGAACCTTTTTCTGCAAAGATGGACATGATAAAAGGAAAATGGTAGGGACCTCACAGAAGCAGAAGATATCAAGAAGAGGTAGCAAGAATACACAGAGGAATTATACCAGTAAGATCTGGATGTCTTGGACAACCCAGATAGTGTGGTTGCTGACCTTGAGCCAGACATCCTGGAAAGTGACGTCAAGTGGGCCTTAGAAGCCATGGCTAACAACAAGGCCAGTGGAGGTGATGGCATTCCAGTGGAACTATTTAAAATCTTAAAATATGATGCCATTAAGGTGCTACACTCAATATGCCAACACGTTTGGAAAACTCAGCAGTGGCTAGAGGATTGGAAAAGCTCAGTCTACATCCCAATCCCAAAGCATACAATTGCACTCATTTCACACACTAGCAACGTTATGCTCAAAATCCTCCAAGGTAGGCTTCAGCAGTATGTGGACCAAGAACTCCCAGAAGTACAAGCTAGATTTCAAAGGGGCAGAGGAACTAGAGACCAAAGTGCTAACATGCGCTGGATTATGGAGAAAGCCAAAGAGTTCCAGAAAAATATCTACTTCTGCTGCATTGACTATGCAAAAGCCTTTGACTGTGTGGACCACAGCAAACTATGGCGAGTTCTTAAAGAAATGGGAGTGCCTGACCATCTTATCTTCCTATACAAGGAGGAGAAATCCTGAGAAATCTGTATGTGGGACAGGAAACAACAGTGAAAACTGGATATGGAACAACTGATTGGATCAAAATTGGGAAAAGAGTACGACAAGGGTGTATATTGTCCCCCTGCTTATTTAACCTATGCAGAACAGAACTGGATATGGAACAACTGATTGGTTCAAAATTGGGAAAGGAATATGACAATGCTAAATATTGTCTCCCTGCTTATTTAACCTATATGCAGAATACATCATGGAAAAGCCTGGACTGGGGGAATCCCAAAGTGGAATTAAGATTGCTGGAAAAATATCAACAACTGCAGATGATACCACTCTGATGGCAGAAAGTGAGGAGCAATTAAAGAACCTCTTAATGAGGATGAAAGAGGAGAGTGCAAAAAACGGTCTGAAACTCAACATCAAAAAAACTAAGATCATGACCAATGCTCCCATCACCTCGTGGCAAATAGAAGGGGAAGATATGGAGGCAGTGACACATTTTACTTTCTTGGGCTCCATGATCACTGCAAGATGGGGACAGCATCCATGAAATTAAAATACACCTGTTTCGTGGGAGGAAAGCAATGACAAACCTAGACAGAATCTTAAAATGATGCTCCCATCACCTCGTGGCAAATAGAAGGGGAAGATATGGAGGCAGTGACACATTTTACTTTCTTGGGCTCCATGATCACTGCAAGATGGGGACAGCATCCATGAAATTAAAATACACCTGTTTCGTGGGAGGAAAGCAATGACAAACCTAGACAGCATCTTAAAATGCAGAGACATCGCCCTGCCAACAAAGGTCTGCGTCGTCAAAGCTATGGTTTTTACTGTAGCGATGTATGCAAATGAGAGCTGGACCATAAAGAAGACTGGCCGCCAAAGAATTTTTGCTTTTGAATTGTGGTGCTGGAGGAAGCTCTTGAGAGTCCCCTGGACTGCAAGGAGAACAAAGCTATCCGTTCTGAAGGAAATCAACCCTGAGTGCTCACTGGAAGGACAGATCCTGAAGCTCAGGCGTCAATACTTTGGCCATTTCATGAGAAGAGAAGACTCCCTGGAAAAGACCCCGATGTTGGGAAAGTGTGAAGGCAAGAAGAGAAGTGGACGACAGAGGACAAGATTGCTGGACAGTCTCACTGAAGCTACCAATATTAATTTGACAAAAGTCTGGGAGGCAGTGAAAGACAGGAGGGCTCTGGTCCACGGGGTCATGAAGAGTTGGACAAAACTTCACGACTATACAACAACAACAACAAAATGCTTGTATAATGATGCAATCCAACATTAACTTTGTTGGTAAATGAATATCTTCATGTGATCTGTAAAACTGAAAATTAAATTACGATAATTTCAGAACTTGTTCCAGAACCAAAACTCCTAATGAATCTGTATGGTACAGTCAAAAGCATGGTGGACTTAGATGATGATGATGATGATGATGATGATGATGATGATGATGATATACCCCGCCTATCTAGTCATTTCAACCACTCTAGGCGGCTTACAACATAAAACATAACTAGTGAAACCTTGCCTCAAACTCTTACTCAAACGTGAAGTGAGCCACATGGTGATTGAGTTGTTTACTCTCTAATTTGTGAAGCTTTGCCCCCCAACTCCAATGGTGAACTGCCTATGTTGGTGCCCTGCTCTACTCATCCTTTTTCTATCTACAGTAACTCCCATCACATGGTCATTGTAAGCAGTAAATGATATTTATCTCGTACATACAAAAGCAACACATAAATATATCACAGGCCTATCCAGACACTACTGTTTTATGTTTTAAAATGCCTTCTTGCTTTGAAGACACACAGCAGATACTGTTACCTAATATACAATGAAGTATAATTTGAATAGAAAAAACAACTCTCCAGCCACTCACCTGAAGTGATGTAACTGTACAAAGATCTTTAAGCTTTCCTTCTTCATCTTTTAAATTGTACCCTTCAGGTTTCTTATCTCGTTCTGTAATCTTCCACAGTTTAATAGTTTTATCTTAAAACAAAATAAAGTAGCATTTTATTAGAAAGTGGACTTTAACCTTATTCCTCACTTTTAATATAGCTGCTACATAAGCTTCTCTTTCTATCCTCCAATGTATTAATTGCAAACTCGCCGTGTTTACTTCTATATTTACATTTCCAACAGCAGACCTCTACTGGCTTGTGAACAAGTGAGTCAGCAGTGAGGACACCCATTGTCTTGCTAGAATAGCAGTTCATGTTCTTATTCAGTGGAGGAGTTGGAGTGGGCAGGAAATATGTTCAAATGTAAAGTTCTATTGTGATACATTTCCTTCCCTGCCTACATAGGTTTGCCCCCCTTATATACTTAATAGCACGGACCTTTATGTGCTTCTACCCAAAATAAGAAAACAGTGAGTGATACCTTTTATTGAATCACTAAAAATTTTAACAAACTGCAAGTTTCAGGGATGAAATCCACTTCCTCAGGCTAAGCACACCTCCATCAGAGAAACTACAGAAAAACTGAAGATAAAGGTCCAAAACTTGATGATACATGTTTGTATGAGATGATTCAGACTAAATTATAACCCCAAGATAATTTGCAATCTTTTGGTCTCAAGAGGTGAGGTGTAAACATTCTAGACCATGCTGCAGAGATACTAGAGCCCCAGACTCAAGAAGATCTGGATCATCTCTCACAGACAAGTAACATGAATTTTTGGATTCTGGTCTACAATTTGTCTGCACTGTCCATGAAGTAGGTGGGCTTAGGCTGAGGAAGTGGATTTTACCCATGAAATTTGAAATTTGTTTAATTTTTTAGTGGTCCAATAAAAGGTATCACCCACTCTTGCATTTGTGTAATATTGGGGACCACACAGCCTTTTCTTGTTCTATCCAAAATATTATATTCTGGTAACTGAAGAATACTGAAGGATATTAAACTCAATCCACGTGTCCCCTTTGGCTCTGCCAAACATTGTTTTAAGTCTCTTTGGTGCATATTTTGGGTGCTGAGACCAAGGTAAAAAGGGGTCAACTCAGAAGGGGAAAGACAATCTCAGGACTTTCAGAGAACATTCAGAGGCAGAGTTTTGGTCACTTGCTTGTCTTTGACCAGCAACTATCATTTGTAGTGGCATCTCCTTGTTTCTGTTCTCTTGTTTCTTTGTTTTATAAATGTTTCTTTTAAAAAAAGTTATACTGCCACAGGAAAACAATGCACAGTAAACAGAAATATACACACAATGCACTGTAAACCATACCATACTGTGACACAGAATCTTTCCTGGGAACACAAACAGCAGGTGATTAGAAAATAAAAATTCTCAATAATTGTGCACTGAGTGTCACAGTAGCAGCTCCTCTCACCTCCTAAACTTTGCAAATCAGCTTACATTTTTGGGTGACTGGTCTTCATCCCCTAAGCACTGGGTTCTTTTCATAGCTGATTTCTCAAAGAGGAAAGACAGCCAGAGCAGAAACTGGCATTTTTAGGTAAGCAACACCATCTCCCGCCCACTCCGCCCTGAGGCATGGGCACAAACCCTCTCAAGAAAAAAAAAGGAAGAGAAAGTTTATGATCTCAAAAAAAGTAAAACGAATTGTACTGGAAAGTGTTGCCATTTATCCTCCAAACACTCAGCAGTATATTTGCTTCTAGACTTTGGTACCCTTTAAATTTTGGCATGCCTGAACAAAGCCTGATAATAGGTGATTTTTGTGGCCACCCTTGTCCATAATACATTGGCCTTGAGGACACCTACACTATTTTCAGAAGTACTGTAATAAAAATATTGAAATAATTTGAAGTTGACTGCTTCAACATTATTGTCCACTGCTACGTAAGAGACTTTAATAAGTTTAATGAGGAGGGGTAAGTATTAATTATCAAAAATTGCAACCAACAGTAAAGTCATCCTGGTTATGGCAATTTTTGATAATTACATACTTCCCCTTCCATCCTGTAGCCCTCAATAGTGCCCTGGTGATGAAAGGGATTCCACTGGGACCTCAAACCTTTTGGGGAGAAATCAGAAATGTATTATTTCCAAAGAAAATTTCTGTGGCTGATGATGTCATCAAGCTTTCATAGAGGAACTTATGTAACGGTAATTTCTGCCACAATCTATAGATACCATAAGGCATTACCCACAGATTTGCCCCCATCCTTTGAGCAGCTGGTGTGCAGCTCAAAGTTTCTCTCTGAGAAACTCATTCCAGAATCATAAATATCCCATCAAAAGCTAGGGTTATCCAAGGCAGAAGTAGGAAAGCATAATGTTCACCCCAAAACTATCACATACCATTTGTTGACAATAAAGCATGGGCTGCATTCTGCTGTGGCAGCCATTTTATCTTGTTTATTTTTTCCTCTATTTCCAAACTCTTCAAATAATCAAACTCTGGTTCATGGCTTTGGAAGGTGCTGTAAACATTGTACTCGCCTTGGTTGTAAGGGTCATTTTTACTCTGCAGAGAACACAGAAGAGACAAAAAATGGATTGCTGAAAACAGAGTTAATTTATGTCTTTCATGGACCACTGGCTATGGACCACCAAGACAAACAGGGAACTATCTATGCAGTGAGTGGCATTGTGTTCCTATGGTTATTAAGTGGTAACCAAAAAAGGGCAGAATTGGTATATTCCCACACAAACAGTTGTCCATTGTCAGGATGGAGGGCAGAAACAAATCTACCCTTGTTTTTACCACAATAGTAATAGATGTGGCCAGCCTAGCCCAAGAAGTGAGGATGTTGTTTCCTTAATGTAACCTCTCCAGTGGTCCCCAACCTTGGGCCTCCAGATGTTCTTGGTCTTCAACTCTCAGAAATCTTGGCCAGCAGAGGTGGTGGTGAAGGCTTCTGGGAGTTGTTGTCCAAGAACACCTGGAGGCCCAAGGTTGGGGACCACTGAGTCCTATACAATAGTCTTAAGCTGTCTCATGAATGTCAAATGAAGAAGAAAAAACTATTGATTTTTTTTAATGTTAGCATTCAAGACCCAATAAAAACAATTCTAGACAAGCACCAACTCTACCCTGGCTTCTATTTAATTATTTTGCCCACATGTACACTTCCTTCATTTTTATGCCTCCACACAATGGAATGACAATATTTTAAAAATTCAATAAGACAACAGAAGAAAGGCATGAAGTGATTTGTATAACATGCATTATTTGGACTCCAGACCAAATAATTCAGATTCTGAAATTCATCTCTTGTGGGGGGTGGGGGGTGGGAGGAAGCCAGGACCATTTGCAGGCCCTCTTCCCGTAAAATAGCTACCCTCTGTTGGGAGAAAATTGGAAGGGCAAATGGTTTACTAGGTGCTATGGCCAAGATAAGCAATACAGGTGCATACTCCATATAAACCAAAATGATCCAAGTCTGGAACAACTCCCCTTTGAGGAACTAATAGGATGGCGAGCACAGAATAAAGAAAGTAAAAGGAGACATGTTAGAAGGGTTCAAAAATTTATGGGATATGGATAAAGAAGAAAATATTGTCAGTCATAATACTTGGGGTAATGCACTGAAGCTGTATGGTAGAAGATTCAGGATAAATTAAAGGGAATGCTGTTTCATACAGCACAAAGTTTAACTACTGGAATTACTGATACTGATGACTGTCAACTTGGATGGTTTGGGGGGGGGTTGTTAAAATGAATGGTAGCTAGCAGAAATTGACATGAACTGCCGGTTTGTCAGTTCATGCCTGTTCAATCCTTTGGATAAACAGCTCTTCAGCAGTTTCCAGTCCCGTCTCCTCTGGCGGGTGCCCACTGGCTTCCCCACCTGGCCCTTCTGGGCACTGCCACTGAGTGGGTGCTCACAGAAGGAGGCAGAGCTGGGAACAGAAGTTTGTGTCCACCTCTAGTGGCTAGTAGTGATGATGGATATGTATCCCCACCCCCCAATGTCAGAGAGAGCATGCTTCTGGGTTCTAGATGCTGGAGAGCATGAGCAGGTGGATATTGCTGTAGCCATGCTCTGCTTGTGAGTATCCTTCCCATAGGCAGCTGGCTGACTAGACCATGAATAAAATGCTGGACTAGACAAATTTTTAGTCTGATCCACTAGGGCTCTTCTTACATTATTAAGAGGTATTCGCTAATTTACCAGGGCAGCCCACCAGTTAAATTATTCAAAGGTAGGACAAGAATCCCTATTCCACCCCAGGAACTTTTTAAAAAGCCATGTCTTTAAAACCCAGAAACAAAAAGGACAGGTGAAGTCTTGGTAATCTTATGATTACTTATAATATTATTATTCTCTTACATAGGTTTTGAGTTGCCTACACTGAAGAAATCCCACTTAGTCTGGAGATTTATGTTTATAAAATCTGTTACAGCAGCTCCACTGGCTGCCAATCCATTCTCGGGGCAGAATCCAAAGCAATGGTTCTAAACCATAAAGCCCTAAAGCCCAAGCTATCTGAGGGATCTCATCTCCCTTCATGAGCTTGCTCGAGTCTTAAAATCTTCAGGAAAAGCCTTTCTCTCAGTCACACCACCTTCACAGGTGCATTTGGTGGAGACACAGGAGAGGGCCTTCTCTGTTGATGCTCCCAGTCTCTGGACCTCCCACATGAGGCTAGACTAGCCCCATCTTTACTGTCCTTCCAGAAGCAGGCAAATACCTTTCTCCTCAGGCAAGCTTTCCCTGCATGGATGGCTGCCAAGTGAGGTTTTTAAAATGGATTGTTGTGCCACACTGCTCTGAATGTGTTTTGGTGTCACTTTTGGTTTTTTGGTTTTGTAGTCATTGAACATTTTAAGTAGGTAGATAGATAAAACCTACTTTAAAATCTACTTTATTGGCATAAGTAGAAACTGGACATAATCATGATGGTTTGTTAGGTAACTACATATATAGGCATCAAAAGGGCAAAAAAGTGTTAGACATCCTTAAAGGGACAAGGGTTCGTCTCTTAACAATATATCAAGGAAGTCTCTGACTCTTTCTACAATGTCTTTCACCTTGGCCATCAGCATATAGTGAACTTTATGAAGATCTGACCTCCCTTCCAACTTTAATAAAATTGGGGCTATCAACATTGATTGGCCAATCAAGTGAAGTGAGCTGTGCAAAAACATATGAACAAGGGTTTCCAGCACCCCTGTTCACATGGGCAGTGCCTTTGAGAATAGGGAACTGCATTTAATCTGCCATATAATATAGCAGTAGGCATGACATTGCATCTGGCCAAAGAAAAGGCCCTATGTTTTTGGGGGCATTTCAGCAAGGGAAGGTAGGCAGCAGGTTTACCTATTTTAGGAGGAATATGGAAAAACAATGGTGAACAGAATTTATTGGCAGCACTACAAATGTCCTGGAATTCAAAATCAAAAATTCTTCTTTTAATAATTTGGAAAGGTAGCTCTTGACTTAGAGTTCCAAGGTAGTCATTTTCTATACCAATTGATTTCATTTTTTTCAAGAGGACCGTTGACCCAAACAGAGTCCCGCAAAAGCTGGTATAATAAACTGTCCATGTTTGAATTGTAATAGATACTTGACCAAAATTTGAATGATCTCAACCAAGGTACAATCTGTATTAAAGATACTCTGGACTCCAGTAGGGCACACATCTAGCTAGTCCACGACTAAATGACTAAACGAACAAAAGAAGGTGCAGCAGAGTATAAACCTTTTATGAGGAGGAGCAGTCTTTTACCAATGTCCAAATTTGCCAATTTGTCCCATAATAGTTGTCTATCTATTGAATCGAAAGCTCCCTTTAAATCAAGGAAGGCCACATACAGTTTGGTATTAGCATATTTTGTTTTATTAATAAGGTGCAACCCCTTCATGGATTGCTGCCTTGTCGTGGCAAAGGGGCTTGAGTAACTCAGAGAAGCTATGGGCTATGCCGTGCAGGGACACCAAAGACGGACAGGACATAATGGAGAGTTCCGACTAAACGCAATCCACCTGGAGTAGGAAATGGCAATGCCACTCCAGTATCTTTGCCAAGAA